TAAAAAAACTACACAACGAAACAACGAGAATAAGAAGTATGTAACCCAAAAAAAGGGTGACGGACACGTTTAAAAAATTCGAATGACCAATTTGTTTCAATGCTGCTTTTGATGTTTCGCCCTTTTTTGGAGAAATTTTTTCCCTTATTTGAAGCCCCACCCTTTTTTTTCCAGGGCCGCTATAGGCGGGCCATAAATTCCCAAATTGTCTGAACCTTTTTTCTGGGACCTCTCCACGGCGATCCCACCCCTGGTGGCACTTGTGTCAGGGGTGTTTTCCTTGTGTGATGTCCGGTGGGTTAAATCGTCTCGTCGACATTTTGGCACAAAGTACCAACTTCTACACCCGGGTCATATCTACGACAACTGGAGACTGTCTCTGGTCACCAGGGGTTTGAACAAACCCAGGATTCTTGTCCACGGGGGGGGAAAAACTACTACCATGTTCTGTTTTTTTTTTTTAGACCCAAGGAATGTACTCACTCAATTACGCGGGGCGCCGCCAAAAAGAAAAGGGAAAAACGGAAAAAAGAAGCCAATCTCTGTTCCCGTTTTCACATTTTGGAGAATTCGTCGGGTCGTTTCAAAAACATTTTCTGCGATTTTATTGTTCTTAGTCTTTTACCGAGTGGTATTGTATGTATTCCTTCTGACACCTAGGTATTTCTGTTCTGTTTACAATGCCTGGGCTTTGTGTCGAATGGGCTATGAACATACAACACTTGTAGTCGTGTACAAATGAATGGGCACGTTTTTCTCTGACTATGTAAACTGTCACCCGAATTATTGAAGCAGTCAAGTAATTGGAGCATTCAAATAATATTTGAGCAGTCACATAAGTGGAGCAGTCACATAACTGAGAGCAGTCAAGTTAATTGAGGCATCAAGTAGTTTGAGAGTCACAAAATTGGAGCAGTCAATAATTGGAGCGTCCAAATAATTGGAGCTATTCCCAATAATTAGAGCGGTCACATAACAGGAGCAGTCACATAATCGGAGCAGTCACATAACTGGAGCAGTGACATAATAGGAGCGGTCACATAATAGGAGCGGTCACATAATAGGAGCGGTCACATAATAGGAGCGGTCACATAATAGGAGCGGTCACATAATAGGAGCGGTCACATAACTGGAGCAGTCACATTACTGGAGCAGTAACATAACTGGAGCAGTCACATTACTGGAGCAGTCACATAACTGGAGCAGTCACATAACTGGAGCAGTCACATAACTGAAGCAGTCACATAACTGGAGCAGTCACATAACTGGAGCAGTCACATAACTGGAGCAGTCACATAACTGGAGCAGTCACATAACTGGAGCAGTCACATAACTGGAGCAGTCAAGTAATTGGAGAGTCACATAATTGGAACAGTCAAATAATTGGAGCAGTCACATATTACGAGCAGTCACATAATCAGAGAAGTCACATAACTGGAGCGGTCACATAACTGGAGCGGTCACATAACTGGAGCGGTCACATAATAGGAGCAGTCACATAATCGGAGCAGTCACATAATCGGAGCAGTCACATAATCGGAGCAGTCAAATAATGGGAGCGGTCACATAATGGGAGCGGTCACATAATTGGAGCAGTCACATTATGGGAGCGGTCACATAATTGGAGCGGTCACATAATTGGAGCAGTCAAATAATTGGAGCAGTCCAATAATTGGAGCAGTCACATAATCGGAGCAGTCACATAATCGTAGCAGTCGCATAATATGAGCAGTCATATAATATTACCAGTCATATAATATTAGCAGTCACATAATTGGAGCAGTGAAATCAATGGAGCACTCTCATAACTGGAGCAGTCAAACAATTGGAGCAGTCACATAATTGGAGCAGTCAAATAATTGGAGCAGTGAAATCAATGGAGCAGTCACATAATTGGAGCAGTTAAATAATTGGAGCAGTGAACAAAACAGTGTGCAGCGCAAAACAGCCACCCTCAGTCTACTTGATGATGAATACCCGCAGAACCTTTGGGTCCGTGTTTACACAGATGGGTCAGCAGAAAGCGCAGTCAGAAAAACGAGGTTGCGGGAGTGTACATTGAGTATCCTAAATATACCAGGGATACAGCCAAATTACCAACGAAGAAAGCACTGTCACAACTAATGATGCAGAAGTTCAAGCATCAAGATAGCGGTAGAGAAACTACTAAATACAGAGGGTATTTTTTCACACCAGTTGGTATTCCTGACAGATGCAAAAGCAGTACTTCAGTCTCCAGTCCCTGGTCTGGAAAATTACCAAGCATACGGTCCCTATTATCCGAACTGCAACCGCTGTAAATTAGTAAATACAGTGGATACCTTCCCACTGTGGAGTTCCCAGAAACGAAAAAGCTGATCAACTAGCTAAGGAATGTGCACTGAAGAACAACCTGCACATACCAGTCTCTTATCAACAGAAGAAGAGAATGATCAAATCAATCAGAATGCCACCGAAACTGGCTACAAGATGATTTACCATATTATTGACAGACCAGAGCAAGTCATTATCCTTCGCCTTAAACAGGGCACAATCGACTTCGCTCCCACACATGTACAACAAATTTTAAGATTGGCCAATCAGCCATGTGTACTTGTGGACTGGCACCTGAAACACAGATCACAGTCTTCAAGACTGTCCCAGATTCAGCGCTTTCAGGCAAAACTTTGGCCAAAAGAGACACTTGTGGAAGTCAAACTTTACGGGCCGCTTAGTGAATTACAAAAGACAGTGAATTCATACTAGAGACAGCTTTGCAGATATAGACAATTTATTTCTTGCGAACGAAAGAAGAAGAAGAAGAATTGGAGCAGTCACATAACTGGAGCAGTTAAATAATTGGAGCAGTCACATAACTGGAGCAGTTAATTGATTGGAGCAGTCACATAACTGGAGCAGTTAAATAATTGGAGCAGTCACATAACTGGAGCAGTTAAATAATTTTGGAGCAGTCACAAAACTGGAGCAGTTAAATAATTGGAGCAGTCACATAACTGGAGCAGTTAAATGATTGGAGCAGTCACATAACTGGAGCAGTTAAATAATTGGAGCAGTCACATAACTGGAGCAGTTAAATAATTGGAGCAGTCAAATAGCAGTCACATAATTGGAGCAGTCACATAATTGGAGCAGTCAAATAATTGGAGCAGTCAAATGATTGGAGCTGTCAAATAATTGGAGCAGTCACATAATTGGAGCATTGAAATAATTGGAGCAGTGAAATTATTGGAGCAGTCACATAATTGGAGCAGTCAAATGATTGGAGCAGTCAACTAAATGAAGCAGTCAAATAATTGGAGCAGTCACCCAATTGGAGCAGTCACATAATTGGAGCAGTCACATAATTGGAGCAGTCAAATATATCAGTAAAATAATTGGAGCAGTCAAATAACTGGAACAGTCAAATAGAGCGGTCACATAAATGGAGCAGTTAAATAATTGGAGCAGTCAAATAATTGGAGCAGTCAAAAAATTAAAGCAGTCAAAAAATTAAAGCAGTCGCACAATTGGTGCAGTCACATAATTGGTGCAGTCAAATGATTGGTGCAGTCACTTAATTGGTGCAGTCAGATGATTGGAGCAGTAAAATAGCAGTCAACTAATTGGAGCAATGAAATAATTGGAGCAGTCTCATAATTGGAGCAGTCCATTAATTGAAGCAGTCCAATAATTGGAGCAGTCCATTAATTGAAGCAGTCCATTAATTGGAGCAGTCCATTAATTGAAGCAGTCCAATAATTGGAGCAGTCCATTAATTGAAGCAGTCCAATAATTGGAGCAGTCCAATAATTGAAGCAGTCCATTAATTGGAGCAGTCCATTAATTGAAGCAGTCCAATAATTGGAGCAGTCACATAATTGAAGCAGTCATAACAGCTGAAGGAAGATATCTGACAGATAAGTGCACAATCGTCATAAGCACCACACCCTATGCTGCTACTCTTTCTAATCCACTGTGGTGTTTGATAAGGCTAAAAGAGCAGAATAGGACAAACACAAGTTGTATTTTAGAACATTGATTTCTCATGCAGTAAGGCATTCTTGTTGAATGTCAGAATTAACTGAAATGTTGTAAATGTTGTTTTAGATCTGTTAAACGGCAGTCAGTCTTGGAATGTGAGCCAACAAATTAGTAGAGATTGGTCTCTGAGATGAATACTGCAAATACTTTAGACAGTTAGTAATTACTCGCAGAAAACAGATTATTGTAGAACATTCTGAGTAATTATAAGGAAGTGACAATGTTTTTAATGGTCAAGTGATAAGAGAAGGAGCACTGGAGAATATGACAGATGTTCGACATGTGTCTATGTCTGATTGTTGTCTGACATTACTCACCATTTTCATAGAAACATCCAGCAATAAAATTGGGCTTTTCTGTTTTTTTTGTTTTGTTAACAACAAGGATCTACAAGAATCAGCAGAACATGTCACTCGAGTGTGGAAAAACAAAGAAAGATGGCCTTACAGCAACTACAGGAGAAACAGGCTCAACTTCAGCATCTGAAGCAGGTCAGTGTTTTACCCCAGCATATCTACAACCATAACATCCATCAGCCAGCTTGTACATCCATCTGCCAGCATCAACATCCATCTGCCAGACTCAACATCCATCTACCAGCCTCTATAACCATCTGCCAGCCTCTGTAACCATCTACCAACCTCAACATCCATCTGCCAGCCTCTGTAACCATCTACCAACCTCAACATCCATCTGCCAGCCTCTGTAACCATCTACCAACCTCAACATCCATCTGCCAGCCTCTGTAACCATCTACCAACCTCAACATCCATCTGCCAGCCTCTGTAACCATCTACCAACCTCAACATCCATCTGCCAACTTGTACATCCATCTGCCAACTTGTACATCCATCAGCCAGCTTGTACATCCATCAGCCAGCTTGTACATCCATCTGCTAGCTTGTACATCCATCAGCCAGCTTGTACATCCATCTGCCAACTTGTACATCCATCTGCTAGCTTGTACATCCATCAGCCAGCTTGTACATCCATCAGCCAGCTTGTACATCCATCAGCCAGCTTGTACATCCATCAGCCAGCTTGTACATCCATCTGCTAGCTTGTACATCCATCTGCCAACCTCAGCGTCCATCTGCCAGCTTGTACATCCATCTGCTAGCTTGTACATCCATCTGCTAGCTTGTACATCCATCTGCTAGCTTGTACATCCATCTGCTAGCTTGTACATCCATCTGCCAGCTTGTACATCCATCTGCTAGCTTGTACATCCATCTGCTAGCTTGTACATCCATCTGCCAGCTTGTACATCCATCAGCCAGCTTGTACATCCATCTGCTAGCTTGTACATCCATCAGCCAGCTTGTACATCCATCAGCCAGCTTGTACATCCATCTGCTAGCTTGTACATCCATCTGCCAACTTGTACATCCATCAGCCAGCTTGTACATCCATCTGCCAGCTTGTACATCCATCAGCCAGCTTGTACATCCATCTGCTAGCTTGTACATCCATCAGCCAGCTTGTACATCCATCAGCCAGCTTGTACATCCATCTGCTAGCTTGTACATCCATCTGCCAACTTGTACATCCATCAGCCAGCTTGTACATCCATCTGCCAGCTTGTACATCCATCTGCCAACTTGTACATCCATCTGCAAGCTTGTACATCCATCTGCTAGCTTGTACATCCATCTGCCAACTTGTACATCCATCTGCCAACTTGTACATCCATCTGCCAACTTGTACATCCATCTGCCAACTTGTACATCCATCTGCCAGCTTGTACATCCATCTGCTAGCTTGTACATCCATCTGCTAGCTTGTACATCCATCTGCCAGCTTGTACATCCATCTGCTAGCTTGTACATCCATCTGCTAGCTTGTACATCCATCTGCCAGCTTGTACATCCATCTGCCAACTTGTACATCCATCTGCCAGCTTGTACATCCATCTACCAGCCTCAACATCCATCTACCAACCTCAACATCCATTATGCATTTGAAAACATACCCACAAGCTAGTTATCTACATATATTTAATACTGTCTTGCTTACTAACAACATAGATTTATTTAAGTATGTATGTACAATCTTGGTGGCTCACTGTATATCCACATGTATGTGTGCCCGTTTGGGGGGGGGGGGGGGGGGTACTGTCTTTAGCTTCTTGAATAAGGTGTAAATAAACATGTCAAAAGGAAGGATACAAAGAAATGTTTTACATGGATGAATTTCCATTCTCTAGACAGCTGGCATATTGTCTTATTTATTGGTTACGTTGGTGACTTTTCTAGGTGAATGTATTTCAGTTTTATAGCTCCCTACTCACTTTGCTTTGTTTATCATTAAAGACTTTCATTCACTTGTGATGTTTGTGTCTTCCTTACCCCAAAACTTCATAGCTTTGTTTTGTGTTTTGTGCTCAGTTATCCATTGTTCACATCGGCTGGCCAGTGGTCACCACTATGTTCTCTAGCTAAGTACATCATCCAGTTTCATGAGGTGAAAATGGGACATTGCGCAATATTTTGAGCTAAAAACAGGACATGTCAAGCAGGTTTGTTCAACTCCACCGCCCCCTTGTCTCTTTCTAGGTCACCCAAATAAAAAAGAGTTAATTACTTGCTCGGCAGTGGTACTATTAAAACCCCAGCCATTGTCGCCAAGACAAGAAGGAAACAATACGCTCTTCAACAGCTCTGAAAAAAAATGCTATGTTGAAAATTGCCATCAACTAATTTCAGGCATTAGAAATTATGAAATATAATCAGGTCCTCAGATATAAGTATATATAGTATTCTCCTGCTTATTCCTAGAATTTTGTAAAACAAGAGAATCAGGGGATGGCTGGGGCACCCCCAAAAAATGTTACTGTCCAAGTGAAAATAGGATGTACGGTCTGCATATCTCTAGCTGGTCATTGGTTGTTGCCTCTCCCTCAGGTGACCTCCAGCATAGAGGGCTCACACACACAGGAGCTGTCCAGTCTGAGCCAGCAGTTAGCTGAGACCAAGGAGAAACTTCGCCTAGAAGAGGAGAGTCGCACAAAGCTGATCCAAGAGGTTCGGAGACTACAGAAGGAAGCTGCGGAGAGAGAGAGAATTACAGCTGAACTTGAACAAGCGAAGCAGGAGTTGGCAAGGCTGCATCATGAGATCATCAGTGAACCAGGTCAGTATGTCATTCAGTCATCTGTTTGTTCCTGTTTGTAGGACTCATTGTTGTTGCAGTTTTAGTGCACCTGCCAGCTACCATGGAAGTCTAGTGATCAACCAACTTCCTTCATTCACAGAGCAGTTAGCGGCTGTTTGTGGTTTACTGGAGGATAGGATACATTTGTTGTTCTCTCAGTGGACTTACGTGTCAGGTAGTCCAGTAAAGTTGTTATCTCACATTGAACGGGTATTCTTGCAAGTCATGCTTGGTGTAGGAACTAGCAAAGATTTCTTTCTTATATGTATCCACTACCACCACCACTGCAGCTGTCACCGCAACTAACTACAGCAACTATCACCACCACCATCTTTTACCTCTACAACAGCTGATACCACCAACACAGCAACTACCACTACAGCTACAGCAACTATCACGACTGCCTCTGCAATTACCACTACAACTGCAGCAGCTATCACCACCAGCATAGTAACTGCTTCCACTACAGCTGCAGCAACTACCACTACAACTACAGCAACTATCACTGCCACCACTGCAGCTACCACTACACTTTTGGCAACTATCACCACCAACTTAGCAACTGTCACCACCAACTTAGCAACTATCACCATCAACACTGCTACTACAGCTACACTTACAGCAATTATCACCACCAGCGCAGCAGTTATAACCACCAAAACAACAACTGTCATTACATGGTAGAAGAGGAACAACTAAACAAGACTGTCAGGTACCTGTACATCCCACAATAGAAGATGATAGACTGAACAAACAACACTGTAAGGTACCTGTACATCCCACAATAGAAGATGATAGACTGAACAAACAAGACTGTAAGGTACCTGTACATCCCACAATAGAAGATAATAGACTGAACAAACAAGACTGTAAGGTACCTGTACATCCCAGGATAGATAATGATGGACTGAACAAACAAGACTGTAAGGTACCTGTACATCCCAGGATAGATAATGATAGACTGAACAAACAAGACTGTAAGGTACCTGTACATCCCAGGATAGATAATAATGGACTGAACAAAGAAGACTGAAAGGTATCTGAACATCCCATGATAGAAGATGATAGATGGAACAGACTGTAAGTATCTCAGTGAAGCAGAGCAGAAGAGATAGTCTGAATGAATATATGACAGTTTATGTATAGGTGTCTCAGTCAGTATGTGATTGCTGTCTACAGGTGAAGAGAAGAGCACAGAGATTAGCCTGTTGGAAGTGAGCACAACATCCTGGGTGAGTGTTTCTATATGTTGGGTTTGATCTAGAGTGGGGCAGTAAAGGTGTCCTACCAACACATTGTTGGTTGTAGGTTACTACTCACTTGATTGCACTGAGCTACTGAGAAATGAATCATCTCACCCAGCAGCCTGTATAGATTGATCTAACAGAAACTGGCTGACTCTGCCATCTGACAGGACCACATGCAAGCTGACAATCCAGTATCCTTGAACTCTTTCACTCACAGCTGCAGAAGGAATGTAATCAAATACAATACACAGTGAGAGTATCTGCTTCTGTTGAATCAGGTTTCATCTTATTTAGCAGCTCCAGTTGGCAGAATTCCAGATGTGTCACAGAAAGAATGAATTCTGCAGCTGCAGTTACAATCCGCATATATGACCAAAAACATTCTGAAATGAAAATATGTAATTTGAAATTAAATACAAGATCATAGAACAAGGTAAATGGCTATACAATGACACAGAATTAACCCATGAGCTTCGGAGCATAAGGCAGATGGTTTGGCCATTCTGCCACGGAACCTAGCCACAAGAATAGTGAGGGAATGATTTTTAAGGGGCTAACTACGTAGTGGAAATGACCAATGTTTGTTTTAGTATCCAGAAGCCATGAGTATGTTAACCCTTAGGCTCGGTATTATGGATATCGCAACCTTTCGACCTTGATTCCATTGTAAATACCGTAAATCTGGGAGAAATGTGGCTTTTATGCCTATCCCCGGGAGTGAACCCGGACCACAAGGAGTTCGTCACCCGGTCACTGCGCAATCAAGTTTAGCCAACTAGGCTAGAGAGCCAGGCGAAATGACCAATAAAGAAACTAGATTTCTGAAGACTGCTCTAAACATAAATTAAAAATTCAAGAACACTTAACTCCTTTAGTCCCAGGTCATAGCGGATCCCACACGAGGCAGTAACTAATGACAGCAACAAACTCATCCACAGCAGCTAAATAAACAATGATTGTAGGAGTCACATCTGTTACTGGGTGTTTTACTATTCTGTTTCCAAACATAAAATTTACAAGCATAATAATATTCTGACTGGTGCATATGAGCAACTAGTCACACATGATGCGTTGTTTGGGACTGAATAAGTTAATGTGATGATTAGGGTTCACAAGACACATGATGATCAACGAGGTTACAGATGATGTCTGATGTTTTCCCACAATGTCTGTTGTTTAGAACCACCAGGACCAGCCCAGTGATGACAGCCTGATGTCTCTGTGGGCCAGGAATGGTCCTATCCAAGTTTATGTTGCCAAGTATAACTACGACCCATTTAAACTTTCGCCCAATGAGAACCCGGAGGCAGAGCTGGTTCTGGCAGCTGGAGACTATGTCCTTGTTGCTGGGGACATGGATGAGGTCTGTAGGGATCATTCATGATACATGTATGTCCTTGTTGTTGCTGGGGACATGGATGAGGTCTGTAGAGATCATCCATAGATACATGTATATCCTTGTTGTTGTTGGGGACATGGATGAGGTCTGTAGGGATCATCTATGATACATGTATATCCTTGTTGTTGCTTGGGACATGGTTGAGGTCTGTAGAGATCATCCATAGATACATGTATATCCTTGTTGTTTGGGAGGTGGATAAGGTCTGTGTTTGTAAAGATAATCCACAAATACATGTATGTCCTTGTTTTTTTTATTTTTTTTTATCGATCACCGGCTGTGAATTCCAGTGGAAGGTCCCGGTTAATCGTCCGCTTGGACTTTTGGCTTTCACCTGGACCTGATTTTTGCGTGTACAACCGTTTTTCATTTCCCTGCCTCATGGGCAGCTGTACTCAGACTTCGAAGGAAGACGTCAGGCCTATTTCTAGGTTGACTGTGGCCATTGTTTTGTGTGGGTCGTGACGTTGCCTGATTTGTGTGGTGTCCACTTTGTCCCCTTCGCCGCAGGTATTGCCCTCGGAGTACCCCTTTGGGGCAGCCCCCTGTGGAACAGTTAGCCCTCAAGGGAAGGCAGGGGCAGATCATGGGCATTCCCCGCCATCCAAGGAGGCTTCCATGCATGCAGAGCCGGCACATGGCGCTCTGGTTCTGGGCTCACCCAAGGAATCGTCACGTCCTGCACATGTCTGCTTAACCTCACAACCGTATCAGGCCTCCCGCTCGACAGGGGCTGCGCCCTCTGGAAGTCAGCGGGGAGGAGCCCATGGGTTTTGGACTTTTGTGACCACACAGATAGGTACATTCTTTTTTCCTCGCACGTTATATTTCTTTGACGAGCCGTTAGCCCGACAGAATTTTACATCCTGCATCAGGCATATCGTTATCAGTTTTGTCCCAACACTCGGGCGAGTGGGGTCTTTGTGTGTGGACATTCGGTCTTTTTCAGTTCAATACAAATTTTGATGGTCAGATTTTGATCCGTATGATCTAGTTTTGTCGGACAATTAGGCTTAGCCATCCGATGGTTGGTTGCTGTTGTGGTGTACCTCAGCGCGGTGACGACGACACTGAGGGTTAACCGAGGATGTACATGAATGGTCAGCCTATGGATGGTTGCTGTTGTGGTGTACCTCAGCGCGGTGACGACGACACTGAGGGTTAACAGAGGATGTGCAGTGAACAATGTTCTCTTTACTCCGCAGTCTTTTAACCAAGGGTTGTAATTTTGGCTGTACGTTTGGCAGACCTACTCATGTTCCTAATGAGTTATGGTAACATTTTTTACCCAAGCGTTTGGGGGCGGGCTGATGAGAGCCACAAGGACACATCACCTCTGGGGGCCGCCGAACTCCGAGATCCCCTGACAGCTCTGTTAATGCTCATTTGAGACATTATCCGTGGCGCACGACGAGGACGTGCTGTAGGGGTCTTGCGTGAGGTTCCGTACAACCAGGATAGTAAAGGACTGGCGCCCGAGTGACGTACGGAGTATCTCCTTATACACATCAGGTTGGACTTAACTTCCCCTCACGCCTGTGACATAAATCACCGTGCCACTATGTCCTTGTTGTTGTTGGGGACATAAATGAGGTTTGTGTTTTTAAAGATCATCCATAGATACATGTATGTCCTCCTTATTGTTGGGAAAATGGATGAGGGTCTATGTTTGTAAAAATCATCCACAAAAACATATATGTCCTTGTTGTTGTATGGAACCTGGATGAGGTATGTGTTTGTAAAGATAATCCACAAATACATGTATTTCCTTGTTGTTTTTGGGGACATGGATGAGGTCTGTAGAAATCATCCATAAATACATGTTTGTCCTTGTTGTTTGGGAGGTGGATGGGGTCTGTGTTTGTAAAGATCATCCACAAAAACATGTATGTCCTTGTTGTTGTTTACGACATGGATGAGGTCTGTGTTTGTAAAGGTAATTAACAAATACATGTATGTCCTTGTTGTTGTTGGGGACAGGAATGAGGTTTGTGCTTTTAAAGATCATCCATAAATACATGTATGTCCTCCTTTTTGTTGGGAACATGGATGAGGGTCTATGTTTGTGAAAATAATCCACAAAAACATGTATATCCTTGTTGTTGGGAACATGGATGAGGTTTGTAGAGATCATCCACAATACATGTATGTCCTTTAGCAGCTCCAGTTGGCAATATGCCAGATATGTCACATAAAGGGTGAATTTTGCAGCTGCAGTAAAAAATCCCCATATATGACCAGAAACATGGATAAGGTCTGCAGAGATCATCCACAAATACATGTATGTCCTTGCTGTTGTTGGAGACATGGATAGTGTATGTGTTTGTAGAGATCTTCCACAAATACATGTTATGTTAATTTATTTCCATTTTCTTCCTGATTCCCCCCCCCCCCCCCCCACCTTCTCTTCCCCTTTTCACTTAGCATAGTTGATGGCATTTTATCATTGTTGCTGTTGTTTTCTTTGTTTTTGATGTTATGACTTTTGTTACTGTTGGTAATGTTGATTTTACTGCTGTTGCTGAAGTGGTGGTAGTGGTAGAGTTGCTGTTGTGGTGGTGGGAATAGAGCTGCTGCTGCTGTTGCCGCTGAAGTTGTAATGTGTACAGAATCAGTATGTACTAAATGTAAACATGGTCTGACATCTTGGGCAGGATGGCTTCTACGACGGAGAGTTGATTGATGGCAGCCAGGGTCTTATTCCTTCCAATTATATTGAGAAGGTCAAAGGTAATCATATTCCGTTTCTTCATTTCCTTCCACCTTCCTATTTTGTTTCTCTTTTTTTTTAAAACAAATTTTTTACTAATTGTTTCCTACATCCTGCCATAGCCTCTTCCACTACATTTGATTCTATCACCTATATCCTGCCAGTGCCTCTTCCACTACATTTGATTCTATCACCTATATCCTGCCAGTGCCTCTTCCACTACATTTGATTCTATCACCTACATCCTGCCAGTGCCTCTTCCACTACATTTGATTCTATCACCTACATCCTGCCAGTGCCTCTTCCACTACATTTGATTCTATCACCTACATCCTGCCAGTGCCTCTTCCACTGCATTTGATTCTATCACCTACATCCTACCAGTGCCTCTTCCACTACATTTGATTTTATCACCTACATCCTGCCAGTGCCTCTTCCACTACATTTGATTCTATCACCTACATCCTGCCATAGCCTCTTCCACTGCATTTGATTCTATCACCTATATCCTGCCATAGCCTCTTCCACTGCATTTGATTCTATCAACATTCCTTCATTTTTTTCTTGTCTGTCCCCCCTCCACCCATTTGCTACTGGTTTATATGTTTCCACTTGTCTCCTCCATTTTCTGCCTTAAAAAGATCATATATACAGCGGTAAGGAAAAGACTGCTCTTTGGTCATGTGATGGGGGGAGGCTTTAGAGAATATTGTGATGACTGGGGAGATGATGATGGATGGATTGTGATGGTGGCACAGAGGGATATCATCGGTGGAACTGATCCAGAAGACAATGCAGAGGGTGATCAGCACCACCTGGTGTTGACAGGTCACACCTTGAGAGGTAAATGACACAATAGCAGGCAGAAGTTGACATGCTAACAGACACAGACAGGTCACACCAAAGAGGTTAAGGACACCATAGACACAGAAAGGCCACACCAAGGAGGTGAAGGACACCACAGACACAGACAGTTCACACCAAGGAGGTTAAGGACACCACAGACACAGACAGTTCACGCCAAGGAGGTTAAGGACACCACAGACACAGACAGGTCACTCCAAGGAAGTTGAAGGACCCTACAAACACTGACAGATCACACCATGGGAGGTGGACACTAAAAGACAATGGAAGGCCAGCCACAGAGATGATGAAAACACCAGCATACACATACTGGTATAATACAGTGCCAGAGATGAAGCCGAGCTGGACACAGTCGGTATCTGCACACTTGTATGTGAAGCCATGACTGACTAGGCACTTGTGATGGAGTGGGACACAGTCAGTATCTGCACACTTGTGTTGTATAGAGCCTGATACCATTTTCCATGTAGACAGCTCTGTCTGGGGTAGAGAAACTGTCTGGGGTAGAGAAACTGTCTGGGGTAGAGAAACTGTCTGGGGTAGAGAAACTGTCTGGGGCAGAGAAACTGTTTGGGGTAGAGAAACTGTCTGGGGTAGAGAAACTGTCTGGGGTAGAGAAACTGTCTGGAGTAGAGAAACTGTCTGGGGTATAGAAATTGTCTGGGGTAGAGAAACTGTCTTGAGTAGAGAAACTGTCTGTCTGGGGGTAGAGAAACTGTCTGTCTTGGGGTAGAGAAACTGTCTGCCTGGGGGTAGAGAAACTGTCTGGGGTAGGGAAACTGGGGTAGAGAAACTGTCTGGAGTAGAGAAACTGTCTGGAGTAGAGAAACTGTCTGGGGTAGAGAAACTGTCTGGAGTAGAGAAACTGTCTGGGGTAGAGAAACTGACTGGGGTAGAGAAACTGTCTGCCTGGGGGTAGAGAAACTGTCTGCCTGGGGGTAGAGAAACTGTCTGCCTGGGTTTAGAGAAACTGTCTGCCTGGGGGTAGAGAAACTGTCTGCCTGGGGGTAGAGAAACTGTCTGCCTGGGGGTAGAGAAACTGTCTGGGGTAGAGAAACTGTCTGGGGTAGAGAAACTGTCTGGGGTAGAGAAACTGTCTGGAGTAGAGAAACTGTCTGGAGTAGAGAAACTGTCTGGAGTAGAGAAACTGTCTGGGGTAGAGAAACTGTCTGGGGTAGAGAAATTGTCTTGAGTAGAGAAACTGTCTGTCTGGGGGTAGAGAAACTGTCTGTCTTGGGGTAGAGAAACTGTCTGCCTGGGGGTAGAGAAACTGTCTGGGGTAGGGAAACTGGGGTAGAGAAACTGTCTGGAGTAGAGAAACTGTCTGGAGTAGAGAAACTGTCTGGGGTAGAGAAACTGTCTGGAGTAGAGAAACTGTCTGGGGTAGAGAAACTGTCTGGGGTAGAGAAACTGTCTGCCTGGGGGTAGAGAAACTGTCTGCCTGGGGGTAGAGAAACTGTCTGCCTGGGGGTAGAGAAACTGTCTGCCTGGGGGTAGAGAAACTGTCTGCCTGGGGGTAGAGAAACTGTCTGCCTGGGGGTAGAGAAACTGTCTGCCTGGGGGTAGAGAAACTGTCTGGGGTAGAGAAACTGTCTGGGGTAGAGAAACTGTCTGGGGTAGAGAAACTGTCTGGGGTAGAGAAACTGTCTGGAGTAGAGAAACTGTCTGGAGTAGAGAAACTGTCTGGAGTAGAGAAACTGTCTGGGGTAGAGAAACTGTCTGGGGTAGAGAAACTGTCTGGGGTAGAGAAACTGTCTGGGGTAGAGAAACTGTCTGGGGTAGAGAAACTGTCTGTCTGGGGGTAGAGAAACTGTCTGTCTGGGGGTAGAGAAACTGTCTGTCTGGGGGTAGAGAAACTGTCTGTCTGGGGGTAGAGAAACTGTCTGTCTGGGGGTAGAGAAACTGTCTGCCTGGGGGTAGAGAAACTGTCTGCCTGGGGGTAGAGAAACTGTCTGTCTGGGGGTAGAGAAACTGTCTGTCTGGGGGTAGAGAAACTGTCTGTCTGGGGTAGAGAAACTGGGGTAGGGAAACTGTCTGTCTGGGGTAGAGAAACTGTCTGTCTGGGGTAGAGAAACTGTCTGGGGTAGGGAAACAGGGGTAGAGAAACTGGGGTAGGGAAACTGTCTTTTTGGGGTAGAGAAACTGTCTGGAGTAGAGAAACTGTCTGGGGTAGAGAAACTGTCTGGGATAGAGAAACTGTCTGTCTGGGGGTAGAGAAACTGTCTGGGGTAGAGAAACTGGGGTAGGGAAACTGGGGTAGAGAAACTGTATGTCTGGGGTAGAGAAACTGCCTGGAGTAGAGAAACTGTCTGGGGTAGGGAAACTGTCTGGGGTAGAGAAACTGTCTGTCTGGGGTAGAGAAACTGTCTGGAGTAGTGAAACTGTCTGGGGTAGAGAAACTGTCTGGGGTAGAGAAACTGTCTGGGGTAGAAAAACTGTCTGTCTGGGGTAGAGAAACTGACTGTCTTGTGTAGAGAAACACATATTCAGTTTGTTGATCCAAGAATTCAATGTGTTTGACATGGTCTGCCCTCCACAGATGAGGACCTCTGTTTGTTCCATGAGGTGTTGTTGCATGCAGGACACTGGAGTCAGATACTCTCAGCTGACAGCCAGCTCTCAACAACAACAACAACAATAAAACGGTGCACACACTAACTGCCGAATCCAGTCCTGTTACTCACTCAGGCATCAGCAACCATCTACATGTTGCCAGCAGTGAGAGAAGCTCTGTGGCAGCTGATACAGACAGTAAGTTCCTCCCCCACTATGTTACAGATTGATGGAATTTGTGGGTTTATTTTTGTCAGTTTGTCAGTCACCTTTGGTCACCCTTGTTGTACACACGTTAGGATTGCCAGTGTCATCCTCTGATTCTTCCACACTACTTTTATTTTAGTGATATTATGCATTTTTCTAGCTTCTATTGACATCATGTTTTCTAGCTTCTGTCGACATCATGTTTTCTGGCTTCTGTTTACTTTGTTTTCTAGCTTCTGTTTACATGTTTACATCATGTTTTTTGGCTTCTGTTGACATCATTTTCTAGCTTCTGTTTACAAAAATGTTTTCTGGCTTCTGTTTACTTTGTTTTCTAGCTTCTGTTGACATGTTTACATCATGTTTTCTGGCTTCTGCTAACATCATTTTCTGGCTTCTGTTGACACAATGTTTTCTAGCTTCTGTTGACATAATTTTCTGGCTTCTGTTAACATGTTTTATGGCTTCTGTTGACATCATGTTTTTGTAGCTTCTATTGACATGTTTTCTGGCTTCTGTTGACATGTTTTATGGCTTCTGTTGACATGTTTTATGGCTTCTGTTGACATGTTTTATGGCTTCTGTTGACATGTTTTCTGGCTTCTGTTGACATGTTTTATGGCTTCTGTTGACATGTTTTCTGGCTTCTGTTGACATCATGTTTTTGTAGCTTCTGTTGACACGTTCCTTGACTTCTGCTGAAATTGTATTTTTGTTGGCTTCTGTTGACGCTTATTTGGTAGGGGGTAGGTGGGTGGGGGGATTGGTGCTTCTGTTGATATCATATTTTTTGTAGCTTCTGTTGACATGTTCTCTGGCTTCTGTTGACATGTTCTCTGGCTTCTGTTGACATGTTCTCTGGCTTCTGTTGACATGTTCTCTGGCTTCTGTTGACATGTTCTCTGGCTTCTGTTGACATGTTCTCTGGCTTCTGTTGACATGTTCTCTGGCTTCTGTTGACATGTTCTCTGGCTTCTGTTGACATTTTCTCTGGCTTCTGTTGATATGTTCTCTGGCTTCTGTTGACATGTTCTCTGGCTTCTGTTGACATTCTATTTTTGGTTGGCTTCTTTTGACACTTTGGGTGAAGTGGGGGGGGGGGGGAGGGGGATGTTGGTGCTTCTGTTATCATATTTAGTGTGGCTTCTGTTAGCAACATATGTACTATTTTAGCTTCTGTTATCTTCTTATGGCTTCTTTTGATATATATTCTCTTCTGCGATATCATTCTTTTATCAACTCCATTATACTTTTGTGGATTCTATTTTGTGACTTGTGAAAATTTTTTGTAGATTCTGTTACGCTTTTGTTGACACTTTGATTTTGTGTCCTTCTCCACAACACAGTATGTATTTATAGTATTTGTGAAAACATAAATGTTGGGGGGGGGGGGGGGGGGGGGGGGAAGAAAGACCTGACAAGAAACTTCTTACATTGAATGTATCAGCTTTTCTATAAAACTAGCATATCATTGTGTTCATGTTATGTGTGAAAGATAGACACTTTCATAGTATTGTCTGCGACAACAGTCATTATGTGTTCTATTGATAAAGTTGATCAAGTCATGGTTTGCACATCACATGATCACAAGAGTCACAGATTAGGTCTGTGTTCTTGTCTCACTCATGCCATGTGGACCAAGCCTTCCAGGAATCTAGCTTTTTGTCTTCCTCTGGCTGTTATCCCATTGTCATTACCAGAAATCAGAACACTTATCAAGGAATTGTGGAGAGAACAAACTTAACAGTAAACATCCACAAGACCCCATCAGCAGACTCAACAGAAAGCAACATACAACAATTTTCCGTCTACAAACAGGACACTGCAGGCTCAACTACCATATGCATGAAATAATGATTGTACGGACCACAAACACCTGAGAACATTCAACAGACCTGCACACTCTACCTACAATTTCAAAAAGACCTTAAGAGAAAAATGTGCAGAGCAGGCTATGGGGAACCATGCAGGACCTGCTACTGACATGCGAGTTCATAGAGGCAACCCACCTGATGGTCTGATCTGAGCATACAAAACCAAATGCAAAGAAGAAGAAGAAATCTCTAATCAGTTAATGGTTGACATCTGTGATATGGAAGACATAGAGAAGGATGTAGATCATGAGGTAGACCAGCAATAAATGGACCGATAACATCAGTGAAAATCTACAACCGTACCATGAGTCTGTGGATGAGGTGGCAGAATAACAAGAAGCAGATCCTTATTGTGGTCCTTGACACTTAACATGGTGGAGGCTGAATGGTCTCGAGGTATGGTGTCCGCCCCGGATACTGGAAGTCCCGGATTCAAGCCCCAACTAGGATTTTTTAACGTGGACTTCTAGTAATTTCCCCTGGTCTCAGGGTAGTGAGATCGGACGCCCGTGTGTATTGTTGAGCACGTAAAAATACCCTGGCAGTTGGAAATTGAAACGAGTAGTCTAACGGTGCTGCCCAGGAAACGTTTAGAGTTAGAAATCTGCCTAAAATAGTTCAGGATCTTTGCTGGTGCTGCAGAGTTTGTGCACTGCGCTGAGACGTTCAAACTCATGTTTGAGTTAAAAGTAGAACAGAGCACATGGGTTACTACCCTTATGCCATGATGTTGATCCGTTGTTGAAATCAATCAGTGAGACTTAACAGGGTGGTGGGATGAGTGGTCTCGAGGTATAGTGACATGATGTTGATCCGTTGTTGAAATCAATCAGTCAGTCAGACTTAACATGTTGGTGGGATGAGTGGTCTCAAGGTATAGTGACATGATGTTGATACGTTGTTCAAATCAGTCAGTCAGACTTAACAGGGTGGTGGGATGAGTGGTCTCAAGGTATGGTGACATGATGTTGATCCGTTGTTGAAATCAATCAGTGAGACTTAACAGGGTGGTGGGATGAGTGGTCTCAAGGTATAGTGACATGATGTTGATCCGTTGTTGAAATCAATCAGTGAGACTTAACAGGGTGGTGGGATGAGTGGTCTCGAGGTATAGTGACATGATGTTGATCCATTGTTCATATCTGTCAGTCAGTCAGACTTAACATGGTGGTGGGATGAGTGGTCTCAAGGTATGGTGACAAATGGTGATCCGTTGTTGAAATCAATCAGTCAAAATGAACATGGTCAAAGAGGAAGTGAAAAATAAACAGAAGACTTGGAAGGCTGCCTCATTTTGGTAGCAGCATTTTCTGCTGTTGTCCTCCATGCCTTGTGTAAACTTGTACAATGACTTTAATGACAAATGGTATTTATAACTATGTGGTTAAGTGTCTGATGCGATTCACAGCTACAGACAACAGAGAACACAAACATCCCAGAAAGGTTACAGAAGATGAGAATGGAAACAGCCAGGGTCTGTCTGACTTGAGCAATTTGCATGTTCATGGCGACAGCCATGGCTACTGTAAGTACCTGTTGTTTCTCTGATTTCTGTTCATGATGCATTACATCCTTCTGCTTGCAGCCTCTGCTGTAGCAGCTTCCTGTAATCTTTACTTTCTTCACTTCTTTTCTGTTCTGCTTCCTTTCAGTCTTTTGAGACATTTATAACCAAATAATTTATTTTATTACACTTTCACCATACATGACATCTGTCACCAACTCCACTGTTCTGTTACCCATTCAGTGCTTGAGGAATAGACTAACTTACCTGTTCTGTTACCCTTTCAGTGCTTGAAGAATAGACTAACTTGCCTGTTCTGTGTACCTTTCAGTGCTTGAAGAATAACTTACCTGTTCTGTTACCCTTTCAGTGCTTGAAGAATAGACTAACTTACCTGTTCTGTTACCCTTTCAGTGCTTGGAGAATAGACTAAGTTACCTGTTCTGTTTCCCTTTCAGTGCTTGAAGAATAGACTAACTTACCTGTTCTGTGTACCTTTCAGTGCTTGAAGAATAACTTACCTGTTCTGTTACCCTTTCAGTGCTTGAAGAATAGACTAACTTACCTGTTCTGTTACCCTTTCAGTGCTTGGAGAATAGACTAAGTTACCTGTTCTGTTTCCCTTTCAGTGCTTGAAGAATAGACTAATTTACCTGTTCTGTTACATTTCAGTGCTTGGAGAATAGACTAATCTACCTGTTCTGTTACCCTTTCAGTGCTTGAAGAATAGAGTAACTTACCTGTTCTGTTACCCTTTCAGTGCTTGAAGAATAGAGTAACTTACCTGTTTTGTTACCATTTCAGTGCTTGAAGAATAGAGTAACTTACCAGTTCTGTTACCCTTTCAGTGCTTGAAGAATAGACTAACTTACCTGTTCTGTTACCCTTTCAGTGCTTGAAGAATAGACTAACTTACCTGTTCTGTTACATTTCAGTGCTTGAAAAATAGACTAACTTACCTGTTCTGTTACCCTTTTAGTGCTTGGAGAATAGACTAACTTACCTGTTCTGTTACTCTTTCAGTGCTTGAAGAATAGACTAATTTACCAGTTCTGTTACATTTCAGTGCTTGAAGAATAGAGTAACTTACCCGTTCTGTTACCCTTTCAGTGCTTGAAAAAAAGACTAACTTACCTGTTCTGTGTACCTTTCAGTGCTTGAAGAATAGACTAACTTACCTGTTCTGTTACCCTTTCAGTGCTTGAAGAATAGACTAACTTACCTGTTCTGTTACATTTCAGTGCTTGAAAAATAGACTAACTTACCTGTTCTGTTACCCTTTTAGTGCTTGGAGAATAGACTAACTTACCTGTTCTGTTACTCTTTCAGTGCTTGAAGAATAGACTAATTTACCAGTTCTGTTACATTTCAGTGCTTGAAGAATAGAGTAACTTACCCGTTCTGTTACCCTTTCAGTGCTTGAAAAAAAGACTAACTTACCTGTTCTGTTACCCTTTCAGTGCTTGAAGAATAGACTAACTTACCTGTTCTGTTACCCTTTCAGTGCTTGAAGAATAGACTAACTTACCTGTTCTGTAACATTTCAATGCTCGAAGAATAGACTAACTTACCTGTTCTGTTACATTTCAATGCTTGATGAATAGGCTAACTTACCTGTTCTGTTACATTTCAATGCTCAAAGAACAGACTAACTTACCTGTTCTGTTACATTTCAATGCTTGAAGAAAAGACTAACTTACCTGTTCAGTGACTAAGATGCCTGTCACAAACTCACCCCCCCCCCCCCCTCCCTCCCTAAGACATCTGTAAATGACTGACCTGTTTGTCATTCTCTCTTGGCCCAAGCCATGCATGACTTCCAGCCCAATATGGAGGACTAGGCATTGTAGAATGTTTAGCTTTGAAGTTCATTTTTGCTTCTGACAATACCTTGCTAATGCAGTTTCCACATGTGAATGGAAGTTTATGGTTCTGTGCTGCCTAAGCCACTGAGTTAAGTGCTTAGTGCAGCACTGTGAGCTGTACTTTTCTTGTGGAATGTCTGTCATTTGTGCAGCGGCTGAGTCGTGGTATTCAATATGGCAGGGAGCCAGTTTACTTGTGGACTGGCATAATATCTCATGTAATAATTGTGTGTATGTATAGCCGACTTATTGTAACTGCCTACTTTCATCAATGACAAACTGAATTTCTAGAGGTGACCATTGGCTTTGGCACCTCTAGCAATTTTTTTATGCATTTACTGCATGTATATATTTCTAGATTGTGTCGGAACTGTTTGTTTCATGAGTTTTTCAAATTGCACAGTGATGGATTAATTTGATTTGACTTGTACAGAAGTGGATCAGGTGTTGGGGTGACCCGACTGCAGTGAAGTTGAAATATTCTTTACAATTATGACTATGCATCACTTAACTCCTACATGTGTCAGTGACATCTGTAGCTAACTAGCCTGTGGTAACTCTCTGCAGACCCTCCATGCCCCAGGAACCTATGGCTAGATCAACAACTGCCGGACAGTGTACACATCAGCTGGACAGCCCCGGAACCCAGCGCTGGTCTGCAGGTGCACTGCTATCATGTTCTGGTGGACGGAGAGACTAGAGCTGTAGTTGGGGGCAGTGACAGAACAAAAGTCCAACTTGAGGGGATCAGTGCCAACAGTGTAAGATTTGACATCATTCCATGTGTTCTTGTCTCCATTGTTGTGTCAGTTTTAATGTATGAGGGCAAGTTTGTTTGATGTGACAGCCTGCAGACATGGAAGGATAATGCGTGATTCTTGTAAGCTTTCTCAGTAAATTGGGCTGACAAGTCAAGTCACGTGTGTGTGTGTATGTGAGAGTGAGCCTACTAGATCTTCCAGATATAAACAGCAGGTTTGAAATGTGCCATACGTGTGCCTACCTCAAAATCACTGAGGTCTTTACACGCCCACTGCACTATGAACTAAATACACGTACAGGCAGCAGACTTCGACAAGGCCAGTCTTGATTTGGCCGTGCACAGTCAGTACTTCAACGGGTGATTTCCTTTCAAGACATAAACTGTTGAATGGATATCCATACCAAATGAATACAGGCAGTACTTTGAGGTGGTTATCACTCTGACAAGACAGTGCCGTGATTTGAAACCACCAATAGTTGATGCAGAAGAAGTGAAAGCATTGGTGGAGAAGCACACATCACTGGAAGATGCTGTTATATATACAGATGGTTATGTGATTTGTCAGAAGAAAAGTGCATGGGTTTTCACAGCAAGAACCAAAGGGCAAGTCATCAAAAAGACAGTGGAGCCTTGGCTTCTACCACCAGCAGCATGCAGTGGAGGTCATGGCTGTTACTTGAATGTGTGCATGTATGTATAGTGTGCATGTATGTATAGTGTGCATGTATGTATAGTGTGTATGTATGTATGTATAGTGTACATGTATGTATAGTGTGTATGTATGTATAGTGTGTATGTATGTATAGTGTGTATGTATGTATAGTGTGTATGTATGTATAGTGTGCATGTATGTATAGTGTGTATGTATGTATGTATGTATGTCTGTATGTCTGTATGTCTGCGTGCGTGTGTGTGTGTGTGCGTGCCTGTGCGTGCCTGTGTGTGCCTGTGTGTGTGTGCGTGCTTGTCTGTGCCTGTGTGTGTGCCTGTGTGTGCCTGTGTGTGCCTGTGTGTGTGTGCCTGTGTGTGCCTGTGCGTGCCTGTGCGTGCCTGTGCGTGCCTGTGTGTGTGTGCGTGCCTGTGTGTGCCTGTTTGTGCCTGTGCGTGCCTGTGTGTGCCTGTGCGTGCCTGTGTGTGCCTGTGTGTGTGTGTGTGTGTGCGTGCCTGTGTGTGTGTGTGTGCGTGCCTGTGTGTGTGTGTGTGTGCCTGTGTGTGTGTGTGTGCCTGTGTGTGTGTGTGTGCCTGTGTGTGTGTGTGCCTGTGTGTGTGTGTGTGTGTCTGTGGGTGGGATGGGTGGCTGGATGGATGGGTGGGTGGATGGGTGGATGCTGTGTGTTGTATTGTGTGTGTGTATATATATATATATATATATATATATATATATATATATATATATATATATATATATATATATATATATATATATATATATATATATATATATATATATATATATATATATATATATATATATATATATATATATATATATACATATATATATATATATATATATGTGTGTGTGTGTGTGTGTGTCTGTTTTAGCGCCGGTTAGAAGTTTTGCCATTTAAGTGTGGAATGATTACATACATATGTTTGTATGGGTATAGGTTAGAACCTCTGCTGTTTGACCATCTGTATAACCATAATTTCAGACCTGTCGGGTTTGTGTTCGATGCCTGTCTAACCAAGGTCAGTCCAGAGACGCCCAGTGCACCATGCTTGTTGGAAAAGGTATACACTGTTGCAGGTGATTAGTTGTGTATGGCACGTGGTTGTGTTTGTGACCTGGTGTTGTCTGCCAGCAGGTGTTACAGGACAGGTATACATGTCTGGTAGCTGAGGAATGCAAGATTATCTCTCAGAAGGCAGGCAGGTGTTTGAAGTTGAACCAGGGACTAGAGATGCACCTCGTAATGTCTGCACAACGTGGTTGTGTTATACAGTCGACATTTGTCTATGAGTGCAGGAGAAGGGCAGAGCTGTTTAACATGAGCTGCAAGTGAGGAGGGGGGGGGGGGGGAGAAACACACACTACACCACCCACCCACAGAATGTGAGAAAGGGAGAGAGCGATGCACACAAAGACTGACTGATAAGGACACACACACCTACCCACAAATGTGAGAAAGGGAGAGATTGATGCACACACACCAACAGAATGGGAGAAAGGGAGAGTGATGCACACACACCACACACCCACAGAATGTGAGAAAGGGAGAGAGTGATGCACACACACATCACACACCCACAGAATGTGAGAAAAGGAGATAGTGATGCACACACATCACACACCCACAGAATGTGAGAAAGGGAGAGAGTGATGCACACACACCACACACCCACAGAATGTGAGAAAGGGAGAGAGTGATGCACACACACCATACACTCACATAAAGTGAGAAAAGGAGAGAGTGAAGCACACACACCACACACCCACAGAGTATGAGAAAGGGAAAGAGCTGATGATTCACTCTTAGAGTACCTGTCCACAAAACATTTGCTAGCTTTTGTGGGGGAATATGTTTAAGGATGTGGACTGATTTTTTAAAAGTGCAGCTGATTGCTTCAGATCGGCTTGAGAAAGGGAACAGAGAGGGTAGTTCTCAAGCAGATACTAGTACAGTGTGTCGACTGTTAGGGCACACCAGCTAGGGAAGTTGTTGGCTTGCAGATCACCAGTAGTGAACTAGCAAGGGCAGTTGTTGGCTTCAAGATCACCAGTAGTGAACTCACTAGGGAAGTTGTTGGCTTCAAGATCACTAGTTGTGAACTGTCCAGGGAATTTGTTGGCTTCAAGATCACCAGTAGTGAACTAGCCAGGGAAGTTGTTGGCTTCAAGATCACTGGTTGTGATCTATCCAGGGAATTTGCTGGCTTCAAGATCACCAGTAGTGAACTCACCAGGGGAGTTGTTGGCTTCAAAATCACCAGTAGTGAACTACCCAGGGAAGTTGTTGGCTTCAACATCACCAGTAGTGAACTACCCAGGGGATTGTTGGCTTCAACATCACCAGTAGTGAACTACCCAGGGAAGTTGTTGGCTTCAAGATCACCAGTAGTGAACTACCCAGGGGATTGTTGGCTTCAACATCACCAGTAGTGAACTACCCAGGGAAGTTGTTGGCTTCAAGATCACCAGTAGTGAACTACCCAGGGGATTGTTGGCTTCAACATCACCAGTAGTGAACTACCCAGGGAGGTTGTTGGCTTCAACATCACCAGTAGTGAACTACCCAGGGGATTGTTGGCTTCAACATCACCAGTAGTGAACTACCCAGGGGAAGTTGTTGGCTTCAACATCACCAGTAGTGAACTACCCAGGGGAAGTTGTTGGCTTCAAGATCACCAGTAGTGAACTACCCAGGGAGGTAGTTGGCTTCAACATCACCAGTAGTGAACTACCCAGGAAAGTTGTTGGCTTCAAGATCACCAGTAGTGAACTACCCAGGGGAAGTTGTTGGCTTCAACATCACCAGTAGTGAACTACCCAGGGGAAGTTGTTGGCTTCAAGATCACCAGTAGTGAACTACCCAGGGAGGTAGTTGGCTTCAACATCACCAGTAGTGAACTACCCAGGAAAGTTGTTGGCTTCAAGATCACCAGTAGTGAACTACCCAGGGGATTGTTGGCTTCAAGATTACCAGTAGTGAACTACCCAGGGAAGTTGTTGGCTTCAAGATCACCAGTAGTGAACTACCCAGGGAAGTTGTTGGCTTCAAGATCACCAGTAGTGAACTACCCAGGGAAGTTGTTGGCTTCAAGATCACCAGTAGTGAACTACCCAGGGGATTGTTGGCTTCAAGATTACCAGTAGTGAACTAGCCAGGGGAGTTGCTGGTTTCAAGATCACCAGTAGTGAACTATCCTGGGAATGTTTTGGCTTCAAGATCACCAGTAGTGAACTACCCAGGGAAGTTGTTGGCTTCAACATCACCAGTAGTGAACTACCCAGGGGATTGTTGGCTTCAACATCACCAGTAGTGAACTACCCAGGGAGGTTGCTGGCTTCAACATCACCAGTAGTGAACTACCCAGGGAGGTTGTTGGCTTCAAGATCACCAGTAGTGAACTACCCAGGGGATAATTGGCTTCAAGATCACCAGTAGTGAACTACCCAGGGGATTGTTGGCTTCAAGATCACCAGTAGTGAACTACCCAGGGAGGTTGTTGGCTTCAACATCACCAGTAGTGAACTACCCAGGGAGGTTGTTGGCTTCAAGATCACCAGTAGTGAACTACCCAGGGGATAATTGGCTTCAAGATCACCAGTAGTGAACTACCCAGGGGATTGTTGGCTTCAAGATCACCAGTAGTGAACTACCCAGGGAAGTTGTTGGCTTCAAGATTACCAGTAGTGAACTAGCCAGTGGAGTTGCTGGTTTCAAGATCACCAGTAGTAAACTGTTAGGCAGCACCAGGCAGGTCTGTTGTTGGCTTCAAAGTCGCCAATAGTAAACTGTTAGGCCATACCAGCAAGTAGGGCCCTGACTTTAAGGTCACCAGTAGCTGGCACAGTCTTTAAGGATAAGAGAGACAGCCTATAGGCCGAACCAAGGGGAAATGAATATTTTCTGAAGATTGTAATGCAGGGGATGGGAGGACAATTGAACAGTAAGAGCTAACAATGAAAAGTTCAAGTATATGAAGAGAGAGGGTGTGGATGTCTGTGTGAATGGATTAAGAGAAAGTGTGTGTGTGTGAACGGACTGAAAGAGAGAGAGAATGTATGTGAACAGATTGAGAAAGATAGATTGCGTAAACAGATTGAGAGTGTGTTATTTAACATATTAGGAGAGAGTGTGTGTGTGAATAGAGAGAGAGAGAGAGAGAGAGAGTGTATGAGCGGACTGAGAGAAAGAGAATGTGTGAATGGACTGAGAAAAAGTATGTGTGAAAGGATTGGGAGAAAAAGTATGTGAAAAGGTGTGTTTAAGAGAAGTCAGAAGTGATAGCATAGAGGCCTAAAATTGGAGAGTGTTACAACGTAAATCTCATATGACCCCCTTTCACTGACAGACGCTTACCCGGTACCTGAAGAATTGAAGCTTCTCCACCTATCATCAACTTCTGCAGTATTAACTTGGTTGCCTGGCAACAGCAACTACCAGCATTCTGTCAGTGTCAACGGACAGGAAATGGCTGTGGTCCGACCAGGTGTTTTCTGCCACATGTTGTCAGGTAAGCGGCCATGGAATGGCTGAGAGCCAAGGGCACTGAACTCACTCAGCCTGGGACCTAGGTTCTTTTTCTTTAAAAAGAACAAAAAAAAAAAAAATTTTCAATTAAATGTTCATAATTTTAATTGTTTTTAAATTAAATGTAGTTTAGGTAATAATATTTGTGAGCCTTGTTTGGGATGTTTCTTGTTAAATCTTTTTATGGTACCTAACGGTTCTAAGAAGAAAAGAAATACTGACATCCTAAAATGTATGAACATCAAGAAAGATTGGCTAGTATACATCTTATCCTGGAAACTGAAATATTTTGGCCATATCAAACGCCAGGCTGGACTGGACTGGAAGAAATAGTACCATGGTGCCAGGAAAGAAGAGCAGGAGCCAACCAGCATGAAAGTGGGCCATCATAAAAGTGGGCCATCATAAAAATGGGCCAGCATAAAAGTGGACCAGCATAAAAGTGGACCAGCATAAAAGTGGGCCAGCATGAAAGTGGGCCAGCATAAAAGTGGGCCAGCATAAAAGTGGGCCAGCATGAAAGTGGGCCAGCATGAAAGTGGGCCAGCATGAAAGTGGGCCAGCAAAAAGTGTTTATTTATGTAGCTCACAAGCCAGGAAAGTTTTAGGTTTAATTGTGTTGTATGTAGCTCAGGAAATAACATGTTGTGTGTACTGTTATATGTAGTTCAGGAAATATGTTGTGTGTATTGTTGTGTGTAGCTCAGGAAATAACATGTTGTGTGTACTGTTATATGTAGTTCAGGAAATATGTTGTGTGTATTGTTGTGTGTAGCTCAGGAAATAACCTGTTGTGTGTATTGTTGTGTGTAGCTCAGGAAATAACGTGTTGTGTGTAGCTCAGGAAATTTAGTGTTGTGTGTATTGTTGTGTGTAGCTCAGGAAATTTAGTGTTGTGTGTATTGTTGTGAGTTGCTCAGGAAATAATGTGTTGTGTGTACTTTTGTGTGTTGTTCAGGAAAAAATGTGTTGTGTGTACTTTTGTATGTTGTTCAGGAAATAATGTGTTGTGTGTACTGTTGTAGGTAGCAATGGAAATAATGTGTTGTGTGTGTTCTGTTGTGTGTAGCTCAGGAAATAACGTGTTGTGTGTATTGTTGTGTGTAGCTCAGGAAAAAATGTGTTTGTGTACTGTTGTATGTAGCTAAGGAAATAATGTTTCGTGTGAGCCAGGTTTGAAGTGCTAATGTTTTTTTGTTGTTTCTTGTACATAGCAGATGAATTGTTTGTGTGCTTTACACTGGAGAGTTACTATTCTCACCTGTTTCTTGTTTCTAACTCCTGAACTCTTGTGTGTTGTGAGAGATTAAATAGTTTGGTCTGACTTGTTCTCTGTGTGACAGAACTACAACCTGGCACACAATATCAAGTCACGGTGATGGCCAGGAGTGCCTCGGGTGTCTTCTCTAACATCACATCTCAGAGCTGGCTGCAGCAGGTGTCTGCCAGCCTCCAGTTCTCCACACCTGTCACAGGTCAGTCTGACTGTGTTCTAGAATCAGTCTTGCACAAAAAGGATGTAGTTTACATTGTTGAGAAACATAGCTATCTTTGCTTCCTGTGTGTTATCACTTGGCATTGTAAGATGGGATGATAAGTCTGAGGATTTAGAGCCACATGGCTAGTGCAGTCGCCACGGGCTGTGCAGGTTAGGGTTTATATTCTGCCCCTAGCAGACAATAATCTTCATCCATTCCCGAGGATTAAACCTGAGTCTTCTGCATGAGGAAAAAAAAGATTTCAGCCAGCCACTGCTCATTGTTGAGAAATGTGATTTCATTAAACATTGAATAACACACTCTGGTTCAACAATGAAAGAAGTAATAAAAGCAGCAGCAACAACAGAAGCAAAGACACATGAAGAAATGTGCACAAAGGAATGGAAAGTATGAGGCTGTAAGAGAGAGGCCTGGTTTGAGTCCCCAACAGAACAACATGCCTGAATCTGTGTTTATGTCTAGTACAGCTCTGGGGATGACCCAGCCGCATTGATTTGATCTCACATTACCTCAGAATGGTCTGGAAATTGGCTGGGACAGTTAATGAGTATTGGCTGTGACGGTAGATGAGTATTGGCTGTAACGGTTGATGAGTATTGGCTGTGACAGTTAATGAGCATTGGCCGTGACGGTAGATCAGTATTGGCTGGGACAGTTAATGAGTATTGGCTGTGACGGTAGATGAGTATTGGCTGTAACGGTTGATGAGTATTGGCTGTGACAGTTAATGAGCATTGGCCGTGACGGTAGATGAGTATTGGCTGGGACAGTTAATGAGCATTGGCCGTGACGGTAGATGAGTATTGACTGTGACAGTTAATGAGTATTGGCCGGGACAGTTAATGAGCATTGGCCGTGACGGTAGATGAGTATTGGCTGGGACAGTTAATGAGCATTGGCCGTGACGGTAGATGAGTATTGGCTGGGACAGTTAATGAGCATTGGCCGTGACGGTAGATCAGTATTGGCTGGGACAGTTAATGAGCATTGGCCGTGACGGTAGATCAGTATTGGCTGTGACAGTAAATAAGTATTGGCTGGGACAGTTAATGAGTATTGGCTGGGACAGTTAATGAGTATTGGCTGGGACAGTTAATGAGTATTGGCTGGGACAGTTAATGAGTATTGGCTGGGACAGTTAATGAGTATTGGCTGGGACAGTTAATGAGTATTGGCTGGGACGGTTGATGAGTATTGGCTGTGACGTTTGATGAGTATTGGCTGTGACGGTTGATGAGGAAGGAAACTGGTCACCCCCAAGATGCCATGGCCTAGAATATATAAAGGTGTAACATACAACACCCTAGCAGTACCATGTATCTCCAAACTACCTTCAACTTTATATAAAAACAGTGCTGTGATGAATTAATAAACAGCTGGGGGAACCAGCATTTCACAGGTTACAAGCTTGCTTCAGCAAGAAGGTCAGCATTGACTTGTAGCATTGCTTTTCACCAACACAAAATTAAAGGTATCTCTCACTGGATTCTGCTGTAATAGACTGGACCTTCAGCTTTTTTTTAATTGGTTATAAAATCTGAAGACTTATTTACAGATTGTCTATCATGAAATCTAAAGAACCATTTACAGATTGTCTAGCATGAAATCTAAAGAACCATTTACAGATTGTCTATCATGAAATCTAAAGAACCATTTACAAATTGTCTATCATGAAATCTAAAGAGCCATTTACAGATTGTCTATCATGAAATCTAAAGAACCATTTACAGATTGTCTATCATGAAATCTAAAGAACCATTTACAGATTGTCTAGCATGAGGTTTGTGCTGAAATGCTCCTCATGTGATCTCTGGGAGGAGACTAAAATACTGGTGCCATCATCTGTGTGCAGTAAGTGTCATTCTTGATCAAATATGAAAACAAAATAATAGTAATGCATCACTTTGAAAATGCATGAACCTGTTAAACTGAGCCAGTAGTTTGATTGTAGAGTCAGTAGTTTGATTGTCGAGTCAGTCAGATCATGCTTACAGTAGAATGATGTCATTTCTCTACATTTACAGTGAAAACCGATCTAACTGTGGGCCCAGAAGCTAGGCTGAACTCACCACCGTTACTGAGGGAAGACAGCGAGGGTGGAGCCAATGATTTAGCCATGCAGCCTGTCTGTCAGGTTTGTGATATTCTCGTCTGCTATCAGTCATATCTTGGATGATGGCATGCTTCTCTTGCCAGTTCTGAAGGTGAACTCATCTCTTGATTGGAGTTCCTGTTTTGTTTCATATGGCTTGGAGTTCTTTCTTCTGTCTATAGTGTATGCCATCTTATGTACGTAATCATGTCTGTCCACATGTGATGATAATGTGAAAAGGATATTCTTGCACCAGAACCCACAGGAAAATGAAATAGAGGGAGACCTAAAAACAGGGAGCAGAGGAACAGGGACAGAGAATGATTAAATGAGGAGGTCATGGGGAATGGCTGCAGGAGATGGCAGATCATAGGATGTCTTGGCAGGAGCTTGTTGGCTGATTCAATCAGTGGGGTTGGGGGTGGGGGGGAGTTGGGGAGAGCAAGAAGCAGATGAAGACACAAAGAAAAACAAAGAAATATGTCCACGTGATATAGATATGGTACTTAATTGCACATGTCCTGTTTATGAATGCTGCAGAATGACTAGACACTGTTGTCATGGAATGCTGACTTTGACAACAATACTTGCCTTTCTATAAAAATCATGCTGATATTTTGTCTGTACAATATATGTGTGTTCTGGTTGTTAGTCTTGATAGAAGAATATTCATAGATGTCTGTATTGGTATATAATATATTCTGTCTGTATAAGAAATGTGTTTATATATTTGTCTTCAAAGATATGTATTCCCCGTGTGTGCTCCTGAGCTCCATTGTGGGGAGGAAAAAGAAATGCACCCACTACCCCCCCCCCCCTCCATCCCCCATCCCCCAACAAGCATGTCATACAAGTTGACTAATTACAGCGGTTTCCTTCAAAGTTGGAGTGTATTTGCATGAGAGGCAAGGAACCAACACTCTGCATACAGATAAATCAGGTCTGTAAACCAGATGTACACGCAAAACTCAAGATCTAGAACAAGACTAGAGTTCAGAAGTGGACGAAGAACCAGAGCTTTCCACCAGAGTTTACAGCTGGTGAACGTGAAGAAGACAAACGAGACAAATATATATATATTTATATTATATACATATATTCTGTTTATGTAATGTAAGTATTGTAGTTGTTATCTTTACTTTAATTATTCTGTGTGAATATTCTTCTTCTTTGCGTTCACCAGCTGTAAAACTCTGGTGGAAAGTTCTGGTTGTCCGTCCACTTCTGGACTGCAGTCCTGTTCCACAACCTGAGTGTTGCATATGTTTCCATTTGATAGATCTGACGCATTTGTGTGCAGACTGTTGCTTCCTTGCCTCTCAGGCAGATGCACTCCAACTTCGAAGGAAGCTCCCAATTAGTCGACTCTTAACGACATGTTTTTGGGTAGGCAGTGGGTCTATTCTTGTTTTCCCTATAACAGGGCCCCGGAACCCACACGGGGGAGATCTTTGTGAATAATCTGAGTATTCTGATATTGGTCTGTGCTTGTCTCCAGCTGGTGGGTTCGCTGGATGTAGAGGAACAGAAAGGACTGGAAACTGATGAAGAGATTGAAGAAGCCTTCCGACTGGTTGAGGATTTGGTAAGCAACAGACTTGTAATGTGTTGGTACTGTTGTCATGGTGATAGTGTCCTGCTTGTCTGTTGCTTGTGTCTGGAGGTCAGTTCTTCTGGTTACAGCACTTGGCATTCAGAAATAGGCACAGTAGTAAATTCAGTAATGGGCACTAAATTCTCATTAATGTGTACTAAAAATTCACTGATGTGCACATCTTATTCAGTAATATGCACAAAATATTCAGTAATGTTCTCATCTTATTTAGTAATATGCACGGTATATTTAGTAGTATGCACAAAATATTCAGTAATTATCGCAGTATATTTAGTAGTATGCACAAAATATTCAGTAATTATCGCAGTATATTTAGTAGTATGCACAAAATATTCAGTAATTATCGCAGTATATTTAGTAGTATGCACAAAATATTCAGTAATTATCGCAGTATATTTAGTAATATGCACAAAATATTCAGTAATGTTCTCATCTTATTTAGTAATATGCACGGTATATTTAGTAGTATGCACAAAATATTCAGTAATTATCGCAGTATATTTAGTAGTATGCACAAAATATTCAGTAATTATCGCAGTATATTTAGTAGTATGCACAAAATATTCAGTAATTATCGCAGTATATTTAGTAGTATGCACAAAATATTCAGTAATGTTCTCATCTTATTTAGTAATATGCACGGTATATTTAGTAGTATGCACAAAATATTCAGTAATTATCGCAGTATATTTAGTAGTATGCACAAAATATTCAGTAATTATCGCAGTATATTTAGTAATATGCACAAAATATTCAGTAATGTTCTCATCTTATTTAGTAATATGCACGGTATATTTAGTAGTATGCACAAAATATTCAGTAATTATCGCAGTATATTTAGTAGTATGCACAAAATATTCATTAATTATCGCAGTATATTTAGTAGCATGCACAAAATATTCAGTAATTATCGCAGTATATTTAGTAGTATGCACAAAATATTCAGTAATGTTCTCATCTTATTTAGTAATATGCACGGTATATTTAGTAGTATGCACAAAATATTCAGTAATTATCGCAGTATATTTAGTAGTATGCACAAAATATTCAGTAATTATCGCAGTATATTTAGTAATATGCACAAAATATTCAGTAATGTTCTCATCTTATTTAGTAATATGCACGGTATATTTAGTAGTATGCACAAAATATTCAGTAATTATCGCAGTATATTTAGTAGTATGCACAAAATATTCAGTAATTTGCACAGTAATGCGCACTAAATATTCAGCTGTGTGCACTAAAAGAAAGGGAGCTGCCATGGTTTAGCAGCTAGTTGCTCGTCTGCAGATCTGAAGGTCATGGGTTTAGGTCCTGATTGAGCAGTAATTTTGTTTTAAAAAAAGACCTTAGTTCCTAGGTCGACCAGGCCTCAAATGGATACCAGGTAAAGTCCTGGGAACTGTAAAGTTGGTCTATAAAATATAGGCCTAGCCCTATATGCCCAATATACCTGGAATGTGTGGGAAAGGATCCTTTACACTAAATTAAAGAGCTAATATTCACTCACGTTGTAATGCAGTGTTTGATAAATCACTGGCTAAATTGTGACCCTACTATCTGAGTCTTTCAGAACTGACCATGTTGTGGTTACATCCCTGTAGAATGGGGCTGTGCCCCCCCCCCTCCAAAACTGACCATATTATTGTGTCAATGTAGAATGAGTCTGTGGTCTCCAGAACTGACTGTGTTGTTGTGTCTATGTAGAATGAGGCTGTGGCTCCCAGAACTGACCATATTGGTGTGTTGTGTCCCTGTAGAATGAAGCTGTGGCTCCCAGAACTGACTGTGTTGTGTCCTTGTAGGATAAGGCTGTGGCTCCCAGAACTGACTGTGTTGTGTCCTTGTAGGATAAGGCTGTGGCTTCCAGAACTGACTTAATTGTTGTGTTGTTTCCCTGTAGAATGAGGCTGTGGCCTCCAGAACTGACTGTGTTGTGTCCTTGTAGGATAAGGCTGTGGCTCCCAGAACTGACTTAATTGTTGTGTTGTTTCCCTGTAGAATGAGGCTGTGGCCTCCAGAACTGACTGTGTTGTGTCCTTGTAGGATAAGGCTGTGGCTCCCAGAACTGACTTAATTGTTGTGTTGTGTCCCTGTAGAATGAGGCTGTGGCCTCCAGAACTAACTGTGTTGTCGTGTTGTGTCCCTGTAGAACGAGGCTTTGGCTCCCAGAGCTGACCATATTGTTGTGTCCATGTAGATTGAGGCTATGGCTCCCAGAACTGACCATATTGAATTGTCCATGTAAAATGAGGCTGTGGCTTCCAAAACTGACCATATTGGTGGCCATGTAGAATGAGGCTGTGGCTCTCAGAACTGACTGTGTTGTTGTGTCTATGTAGAATCAGGCTGTGGCTCTCAGAACTGACTGTGTTGTTGTGTCTATGTAGAATCAGGCTGTGGCTTCCAGAACTGACTGTGTTGTTGTGTTGTGTCCCTGTAGAATGAGGCTATGGCTGCCAGAACTGACTGCGTTGTTGTGTTGTCCTTGTAAAATGTGGCTGTGGCTCCCAGAACTGACTGTTGTTGTGCTTTGTCCATGTAGAATGAGGCTGTGGCTCCTAGAACTGACTGTGTTGTTGTGTTGTGTCCTTGTAGAATGAGGCTGTGGCCCCCAGAACTGACTGTGTTGTTGTGTTGTGTCTATGTAGAATGAGGCTGTGGCCCCCAGAACTGACTGTGTTGTTGTGTTGTGTCTATGCAGAATGAGACTGTGGCTCCCAGAATTGACCATGTTGTTGTAGAACTGACCATGTTGTTGTGTTTCTGTAGAATGAGGCTGTGGATGGACTCAGTGAATCCTCCTACTCCAACTCCAGTCGTTCAGAACTCTCAGACATCCCTGAGGTGGAGGAAGACCTTCTGGGCTCACAAGATTCTCAGCTGAACCAGGCTGGGGCAGTTCAGGTCAGCTGTTATTGCTTTCATGAATGTGAGGATTGTCTGTCTGTCTGTATTGTGATACCTCTCCCAGGCACCTGTGTACATGCTGTGTTCCACTGGATCAGTCAGCTTCTGCACATCTGCTGCAGGTGACGGATTATCTATGGGTATGCCTGGTGTGTCATTTCTTAAATCAGTAATCTCCCTCTATGGGCTCTATGGCCCTCATAATGGGGGAAAACAAGAACAGACCTACTGTCTCACTAACAAGGAGGTCATTAAAATTCACTAATTAGGGGTTTCCTTCAAGGTCAGAGTGCATCTGCCTGAGAGGCAAGGAATCAGTAGCCTACATGCAAATCAGCCAGAATTGTAATATGGAAGTGAACAAACACTGGTGTTTACAGTTAACTGGAAGAAGGAGAAGAAGAAGAAAAAGAAGAAGAAAAAGAAGAAGAAGAAATCAGTAATCTATTACCTGGATGTTCAGTAAGAGATTAATCTTTGAGAAATTCAGAGAGCACAATGTAGACATTGTTTTATAGACTCCAGTAAGGCATCCTCTGAGAGATATGAGGTTCCAGTACATTTAATATACTGTCATGAACAACAAGCAGCTGTTAGAGTAGCCAGTAAAATATCAGCTGGTTTGGGTTGTTGAAGGGATTAACGGGCTTGTGTTCTATCCCCCTAAGGGAAGTCACCAGATAGTGTGTTGTTACATGTAGGCACCCTGAAGGTTTTACTTGATAGAACTCTCCAGCACAGAATGGTCATGTTTAGTCTGTCCTGCAGATTTTGGCTTCATACATATGTGTACTTGATATCAGGCTAATGGATGTCTCTCTGGTAGAACACTGGAATGGTACCTGCAGTCAGTCATCTGGGGCTTAGTCCCCAGGCTTGAATCCACTTTTACAAAAGATAACACTGGGGCCTTTACACTCTGTTGTGTGTACACTTGCCAGGGTCACTTGTTTGATTCCTTCTTGACTTCTGAGTCCATGTGATCTTCCAGGTGGCTTTAAGGTCTCTAGTGTGGACACCTGACAGACCAGCCCCCGGTGGAGCCGATGACCAGCCCAGAGAGTTTCATGCTGAGAAACCTGCACAGTTTGATGGAAAACCACTGGCTGCTCCGACACCTCGCACTCCTACCATGGGTCAGTAAAGTTTGTATGTTTATTTAACTCCCACGGGTCACTAGAGTGAGGAGCGGCTGGCCGAACGATTAGAATGCTGGGCTCTCAAGTGGGAGAGCTGGGTTCAAATCCTCGGTAAGGCTGGGGATTTTTTTATGTCGGGGGCAAAATAAAATCCTCACTTGCACAGTCCGTGGCGATAGCACTAGCCATGCAGCCGTAAATCCTCAGGCTCAAAGACCTCCCTGCCTACACCGCAAAAGTGGTATAATAAAGCAGTAATTGGCAGTTTGGTCAGAGTGCACGTGATAACTACCACTGTTAATTAGAGTGTGTGATAACTACCACTGTTTATTAGAGTATGTGATAACTACCACTGTTCATTAGAGTGTGTGATAACTACCACTGTTTATTAGAGTGTGTGATAACTACCACTGTTTATTAGAGTGTGTGATAACTACCACTGTTCATTAGAGTGTGTGATAACTACCACTGTTCATTATAGTATGTGATAACTACCACTGTTCATTAGAGTATGTGATAACTACCACTGTTCATTAGAGTATGTGGTAACTACCACTGTTCATTAGAGTATGTGATAACTACCACTGTTCATTAGAGTATGTGATAACTACCACTGTTCATTAGAGTAGTGATAACTACCACTGTTCATTAGAGTATGTGGTAACTACCACTGTTCATTAAAGTGTGTGGTAACTACCACTGTTCATTAGAGTGTGTGATAACTACCACTGTTCATTAGAGTGTGTGATAACTACCACTGTTCATTAGAGTATGTGATAACTACCACTGTTCATTAGAGTATGTGGTAACTACCACTGTTCATTAGAGTATGTGATAACTACCACTGTTCATTAGAGTATGTGATAACTACCACTGTTCATTAGAGTATGTGATAACTACCACTGTTCATTAGAGTATGTGATAACTACCACTGTTCATTAGAGTGTGTGATAACTACCACTGTTCATTAGAGTATGTGATAACTACCACTGTTCATTAGAGTGTGTGATAACTACCACTGTTCATTAGAGTATGTGATAACTACCACTGTTCATTAGAGTATGTGATAACTACCACTGTTCATTAGAGTATGTGATAACTACCACTGTTCATTAGAGTATGTGATAACTATCACTGTTCATTAGAGTATGTGATAACTACCACTGTTCATTAGAGTGTGTGATAACTACCACTGTTCATTAGAGTGTGTGATAACTACCACTGTTCATTAGAGTATGTGATAACTACCACTGTTCATTAGAGTGTGTGATAACTACCACTGTTCATTAGAGTATGTGATAACTACCACTGTTTATTAGAGTGTGTGATAACTACCACTGTTTATTAGAGTGTGTGATAACTACCACTGTTCATTAGAGTGTGTGATAACTACCACTGTTCATTAGAGTATGTGATAACTACCACTGTTCATTAGAGTATGTGATAACTACCACTGTTCATTAGAGTATGTGGTAACTACCACTGTTTATTAGAGTATGTGGTAACTACCACTGGTCACTATAGTGTGTAAATGTGGTAACTACTTTGGTCATTTCATTGTGTGTGTGTGTGTTTAACTCCAACTGGTCACTAATGTGTACATTTTTTAGCAACAGTTGGTCAGTAGAGATTATGTGCACATTACATGGCTGATACAGCATGGTCAGAAAATACATTCAGCATCTGAATGAAAAATGTGTGCACCCATAACAAAACAGCATATTCCACAGGTTCATGCTAATCTTGACATGAGTTTTGCTGCACTGTATCAACAAACTCTGCCATGGCTCTCACTTCATCTGGTGCCTACCTCTTGACTTGTTTTGACAATAGTATAACTAGAAAATACTTTCCCTGTGATCCACATGCAAAGGGAATAGACCTAATTATATGAAGAAGAGTTGAGCCACAGTTGAAGAATATGAGAACCTGGAGCTGCAGAAAATGGCAACAGATAGGAGGGTTTGGTATAAGCTGGTTCAAGCCTTGATTCTAATGGCAGGATTAAAATATCAGAAGGAGAATAACATTGATTGAACACTGTATGCTATATTTACTAACATACCTGAGATGCTCACTTGTATTGTGTCTGTAGCCATGCAGAATCCTGTCACCCAACATTTGGTCCCTGCAAGTGTAGAGGAGCAAGATCTGCCTTCCACCGACAGCACACCTGCAGATGTGCCCACCTGTGACCAGCCAGCTGGGGATGTTCACATTTCTAGAGCTTTCCTCACAATGGACCAGACTCAGCAGAAGAACATTCTTAACCAGTTACATCTGATCAGTGTGGGAGTCAGTGTGGCTGATGAATGTATAGGTCTGCAAGACCAGACCTACAAGACCCAACCTGGGTTCAGTGATCCAGCCAAACTGTTCTCTGATAACTCCAGGCTGGATCTTGTCAAGGAGACCCCGACCCAGGAACTTACAGAAAATGACACTCAGCCAGGTAACCATGTGACTACATTACCGACATCTTCCTTTGAAGCGACAGAAAGTTCTGATGATCCCGGGGAGGTTTCAGGTGACCTAAGTCCAGTGGTGAAGGCAAACTCAGTTCGGTTATTTATGGCTTTATATGACTATCACCCAGCCACAATGTCTCCAAATATGGACTCCGTTGATGAAGAGCTCTCCTTCAGGGAGGGACAAATACTGAAGGTGTTTGGCCACAAAGATGCCGATGGTTTCTACAAGGGAGAGAGTAATGGTATCAGGGGTTACATCCCCTGTAATCTGGTCTGTGAGGTGCATATTGATGATCCCAAGCTTCACCAGCAGCTGCTGCAGGACATAGCAGGAGAACCTCATGCTGGTAGGACCACTTGTCATTGCTATTCTGTTTATTTGTCCATTTCCTATCCATTGCCAGCATTTTTTTCCCACTCTTTGATTTTCTAGGTTTGTTTAGCTATCTCCCTAAGCTGTGCAATGATGAATCTGCCATACCATTTTATTCCTTGAGGTAGTGAATGAATGTGTCAGAGAGATATGCATGTATGGTTAATTAATCTATCCATTTGTCCCCTCAGGGCTGCTGTCTGAAGGTCGACTTACAGGAGATAAAAAAAACTTTATTTGGATGGCAGACCATGGGGCAGATCGTAGATACCTTGTTGAAACTGCAGAAAAGTCATAATTAAGGGAGCTATCCCAGAGTAACCTGCAGTCCTCTACAGACAAGCAGCAAATTCACAGGGACAGGGGCATTTAAGTTTGGTGACTAGCCTGGAGAGGACCTGAAAAGCTGCAGGGTATGACCACAGATAGGATGGCTGGAAATGGTAGAGGGCCTTTGCTCTATGGGGAAAATAACTAACAGGAAAAAAAAATCACATGCATGTTTCAGCCCTTTCATCCTGGAAAGACTTTTTTGAAGAAGAAAAAAATGGTGATGACCTCATAGAATACCCCCCCCCCCCCCCCCCCCCCCCCATTTTAAACAACTTTACATATGTCACCGATAAATGTGTTGAAAATATAATTATCTATATTTGTAAATTTTGTTCCTCTAAAATATGAAAGGAGATGTCAAACACAAATCTATAAAGCCTTGAATGGAATACATCCCCAGGGTGTCAGATGACTCATGCCATAAACATGTGACCTTGTCACTGAGACTCCGACCTCAAATTGGATTTTTAAAAATCATTTAGCTCCCTCCCTCCCCAGCTTCCCACCCTGCCAAATGCTGTTGTTAGATAATGTATTCATATACAAGTCATAAAAGTGACATTTACAGGAATTGGACCCCACCGGATATGTTGGTTTTGTGGCTTCTTGCAGTAAAAGGGTTAACTTTGAAGTAGTGAAAATCACATCAGCTGCAGAGTGCTTGACACTACCTCAAAGTGATGACAGTTTGGGTGACTTCAGTCCAGCTGGTATCAAGATATGAATTCACCTAACACGAGCTATGGCTAGAAAACTTAGCAAAGGAAAATGTGCACAGAAACCTGCCTTACCCCTTTCTTAAGCCCCCAGTTACTAGGAATAGCTTGTGTTCTGTGATTTATATATGGTGACCTGATCTCAGCTCTTGTCTGTTGGAGTTTTGGGGGCAGTAAAGGTGTGGTTGAAGTCCTCAGTCTTGTTGGGCTATGGCTGGCCCAGTACCGGACAGAAGTGATGTTATCAATGCCATGCGCTGCACTTACCGTACCGAGGAGCACACCAAAGGGCATGACTCCGTATCCCAGTCTAGACTGATAGACATAGGGGGTGCAACATTTCACTAAGAGGACAGGACGTTTCATTAACCAACACAGAACAGGTATCATCAGTTGTTTTACACTTGTGGAGCTTTTGAGGAGGAGATCGGAGCACCTATGGATCTGTCCGGAGTGCTGTGATGATAATCCTTTCTAATCACTAATCACACAGCAGAATTTTAAACAGTGGTAACTCATGACTCCAGTACTCCAAATGTTGTCCTTACAATCCAGCAGTTGTGATAAAATATCACTCTAACACTCTACAGTACCAAGTCAACAGTCCAGTAGTAATGATTAAACATGTCTCTAACACTCTTCTGTATCAAGTCAACAGTCCGGTACTAATGATTAAACATGACTCTAACACTTTACAGTGCCAAGTCAACAGTCCAGTAGTAATGATTAAATATGACTCTAACACTCTACAGTACCAAGTCAGCAGTCCAGTAGTAATGATTAAATATGACTCTAACACTCTACAGTACGAAGTCAGCAGTCCAATAGTAATGATTAAATATGACTCTAACACTCTACAGTACCAAGTCAGCAGTCAAATATTAATGATTAAATATGACTCTAACACTCTACAGTACCAAGTCAGCAGTCCAGTAGTAATGATTAAACATGACTAACACTCTACAGTACCAAGTCAGCAGTCCAGTAGTAATGATTAAATATGACTCTAACACCCTACAGTACCAAGTCAGCAGTCCAGTAGTAATGATTAAACATGACTCTAACACTCTACAGTACCAAGTCAACAGTCCAGTAGTAATGATTAAACATGACTCTAACACTCTATAGTACCAAGTCAACAGTCCAGTAGTAATGATTAAATATGTCTCTAATACTCTACAGTACCAAGTCAACAGTCCAGTAGTAATGATTAAACATGACTCTTAACACTCTACAGTACCAAGTCAACAGTCCAGCAGTAATGATTAAACATGACTCTAACACTCTATAGTACCAAGTCAACAGTCCAGTAGTAATGATTAAACATGACTCTAACACTCTATAGTACCAAGTCAACAGTCCAGTAGTAATGATTAAACATGACTCTAACACTCTACAGTACCAAGTCAACAGTCCAGTAGTAATGATTAAACATGACTCTAACACTCTATAGTACCAAGTCAGCAGTCCAGTAGTAATGATTAAACATGACTCTAACACTCTATAGTACCAAGTCAACAGTCCAGTAGTAATGATTAAATATGACACTAATACTCTACAGTACCAAGTCAACAGTCCAATGATACTCCAGTGATCACTGACAGGATGAGCAGCAGCAGTGTGCCCATCAGGAACAGCCTGGGCAGGAAGATGGTGGCCATGTACGACTATGATCCCCAGGAGCTGTCACCAAACATGGATGCTGAAGTAAGTTCACAGTCATCACATAGTGGAATGTCTTCTTCTTCTTGCATGCACCCTTGATCACCCATTGGAACATTGACCCTTAACCAGTGCTTGAGGGTCCATAGCAAAAGCCAATGGTCGACGTTTGCTGCAGGAGTACCTAGCGTATGATACCACAAGATCCAGCCTAAGAATAGAGGTGGAGATGGTCGCTGCAACTTTCCGCAGGCTGGAGAACACGACCCTCACATAAGACACACATCGTGATTTAAACTGACTCAGAAAGCATGTTGAGGAAGGTGAGGACAGGCAGGCTTCTTGCTGTGTGGTATGTTTTGCTTCGGATGTCGTGGGTAAGGAGCATTGTCTGGATTTTTTCTCTGGGGAATGCCAGAGTGCTGGGAACAGGCAGGCTTCTTGCTGTGTGGCATGCTTTGCTGCCGATGTCGTGGGTAAGGAGCATTGTCTGGATTTTTTCTCTGGGGAATGCCAGAGTGCTGGGAAACAAACAGGTAGACAAACTGGCTGGCACTACACAACTTGGTGGAATGCTGATACATGATAAAGCAGACATGGTTAGGGTCTTGTGGGAGAGCGTGTAAAAGCTGGAGGAGCAAATGGATCACCAGTCTGATGAGAGGGATGCAGCAGGGGGGTGACAATGTGATCTGTCAGTACTTGATGCTCAGAGGGAAGGCAAGATGAACGTATAATCAGAATGTTGTTGGCACCATTGGAATTGGTACTCTGCATTGGCTGCTAAAGATGGGTACAGAGCACTTTTGGGAATGCCCCAAGTGTCGGTTCTTGAATCAACCTAACTCAACCAGTTCATGCCAGACTCATATATCGCTTAGCCACATTCACAAACTTGTCTCATGTCTAACACATATTATTAATGTGTCTAATTCTTTTCTCCATGTGTTTTTAGATCTCCTTCTATCTCTTTCCTGTTGTTACTTCTAGTGCACCGATCTTCTTTTTATATTGTTTTCAGGCTTTCTCTCTGTGTGTCCTATCCAGTGCTAGTGTCTTTTCCTCATCTCTTGATTTACTGGATTTTATCTGTCACCTTCATCTTCATATGCAGGATTATGTCACAGTATGTCATAAAATACCCTTTTCAAAAATGACCTTGGCTCCCAGTTGATCCAGCCTTAAAAGCCAGCTGATGTGATGCAAACCACATCATTCACTGAGTGCTGATTGGTCTATAAAATATAGATAGAGCCTTATGTGCCCAATACGCCTGAAGGTGCAGAAAAGGGTCCTTAACTTGTTGCAGTACCTAAACTTTACTTTTATTGGCTCTCCTGTCAACAACGGCCGGTAGACAACAGTCGACGGCCGGTTAGAGTTCTGTCCCCTGGCTGCAGTGCTATTACGGAGTGGACAGGAGGAAACGAAACAAATGACATAATTACTGTGTGTTGGCGAAGGACAGCGTGCACTGCCCTGCTATAATCATACGGTTACGGTTTGGGTTAGGGTTTCAGTTTAGGGGTAGGGGTAGGGGAAGGGTTTAGGTTAGGGTTAGGGGTAGGGGTAGGGTTAGGGTTAGGGTGTGCGTTGGTTACGGTTAGTGTCGCCGCATCTCGTCTTCGCACAAACTCATCGTAGCAACCCACACCCTAACCCTAACCCTAAACCTAACCCAATCCCTACCCCTAACCCTAACCCTAGGGCACTGCATGCTGTCTATCGCCGACACACAGTAATTATGTCACTTGTTTTGTTCCCTCTAGTCCACTCCGTAATGCGTCGCAAGAAGCAGTAAGTGAACGCAGTCGCTAATTTGAGTCACAGCGCGGGTCTACCGGGCATGTCGACCTCACTGTGTTTTTTGATTCGTGCCATCTCCAGTCCGTAATTGCAATGCAGCCAGGGGACAGAACTCCGACTAACCGGCCGTAGACTGTTGTCTACCGGCCGTAGTTGACAGGAGAGCCCTTTTATTTATTTAAATCCTGAATATAGACAACAGCAGAATGTATAAACAGGCAGACAAGAGCAGCATGTTCAAACAGGTAGACATGAACTTTCACTACAAAAGTGGCACATGATGATGATTTCCTTGTGAATATAACACTTTTATGTTCAATCATAAATCATACTTTTGTCTTCAGTTGTCAATCGCAGTATATGTTTTATATTTGTATAACTCACAACTCCCTTCGACGAGAACGTCCTGGTACCAGTCACTACACAGAGCCATGCTGAAGAAATATAATCAGCACGGAAAGAATGGCTGCTGCATTAGAGGGCGGTTCATATATGGGTCACACCAATGTGGATACGGACAACAAAAAAGTCAACAACACAAAGCAAGGGTAAGATCGTGCAAAAAATACAATGAGAGCAACACAAACAGGCTTCAGTAAGTGAAGATAAATGAGTAACCACAGAAAGAGAAGAAGAGGAAATCACAACATAATTTGTATTCAGTTGTAAATCACATGTTTTGGTGAGTTCAAAATCACACATGTTTTTGGTGAGCTGTAAATCACATGTTTTGGTGAGTTGTAAATCACATGTTTTGGTGAGCTGTAAATCACATGTTTTGGTGAGTTGTAAATCGCATGTTTTGGTGGACTGTAAATCACATTGTTTGCCTGGTTCAGCTGGAGCTGCCCCTGAGAGCTGGTGATGTTGTGACCATCTATGGAGACATGGATGAAGATGGTTTCTTTACTGGAGAAGTCGGTGACAGGTGTGGCCTGGTGCCCTCCAACTTTCTACAGCCTGTCCCCTCCAGCAACTACAGGTGAGTCCACACATGTCTCTGTCTCTCTCACACACACACACGCACGCACACACACACACACTATCTAATGCTTTACTGGAGAAGTCGGTGACAGGTGTGGCCTGGTGCCCTCCAACTTTCTACAGCCTGTCCCCTCCAGCAACTACAGGTGAGTCCACACATGTCTCTGTCTCTCTCTCTCACACACACACACACACACACGCACGCACGCACGCACACACACACACACACACACACACTATCTAATGCTTTACTGGAGAAGTCGGTGACAGGTGTGGCCTGGTGCCCTCCAACTTTCTACAACCTGTCCCCTCCATCAACTACAGGTGAGTCCACACATGTCTCTGTCTCTCTCACACACACACACACGCACGCACGCACGCGCACACACACACACACACACACACACACTATCTCATGCGTGCACACACTATTTCATGCACGCACACACACTATCTCATGCACGCACACACTATCTTATGCACGCACAATCTCATGCACGCACTCACACTATTTCATGCACAGACAAACTATTTCATGCACACACTATATCTCATGTACACACACTATCTCATGCACACACACACACACTATCTCATGCACACACACTATCTCATGCACACACACTATCTAATGCACACACACACACTATCTCATGCGCACACACACACACTATCTCATGCACGCACAGCCAGGTAGGAAGAGAGGGAGTGAAGTGGGAGATAAGGGAGTGACACTGGCATGGGGGATGTTGAGAAATGAGAAGGGGGGGGGGGGGGGGGGGCAGTGGGAAGGAGAGAATTGTAGAGACATAAAGAGAAAGCCATGGAATGAGAGAGAATTGCCAGGTAGATGATGCCATTAGACAGTGTACATCTGTAGTGTGCACCGTGAACAAGTTCAGTAACAATTGAGTCATGTGTCATTTCATTTCATTGTTTGTGTGACCGTTTTCAGATCTGACCCCAGCCCAGATGTCCTGGTGGCAGTTTGTGAGAGACAGGTTGTCTGCTTCCACAGATTAGTGGATTTCATTGAACTCTTTTTTTGCGGTTGCACAATTGGTTTCTTTTACTAAATGCTTATTTCTGTTTCCATATTGGTTTCTCGCACTGACTTTGTATCCTAGCACTCACTTCATATGTTCTCTTGTTGAACTGTATATTAGCTGTATTTGAACTTCAGCTTCTCTCTCGTTTGTTTATATTTTTCATGTTGATTGCAGTCATAACTTTCTCGTCTTTTATTGTACATGGACTGCACAGTAGGTCTATCTTTCTTATGGTTGCACATTTTAAAAATCTTTTCATGTCTACACAGTCATCTAATGTGGCTGGTAGTCACGTCTGCACAGTGCACAGTCATCTAGTGTGGTTGGTAGTCACATCTGCACAGTGCAGTCATCTAGTGTGGCTGGTAGTCACGTCTGCACAGTGAACAGTCATCTAGTGTGGTTGGTTGTCATGTCTGCACAGTGCACAGTCATCTAGTGTGGTTGTTAGTCACATCTGCACAGAGCACAGTCATCTAGTGTGGTTGTTAGTCACATCTGCACAGTGCACAGTCATCTAGTGTGGTTGTTAGTCATGTCTGCACAGTGCACAGTCATCTAGTGTGGCTGGTAGTCACATCTGCACAGTGCACAGTCATCTAGTGTGGTTGATAGTCATGTCTGCACAGTGCACAGTCATCTAGTGTGGTTGGTAGTCACATCTGCACAGTGCACAGTCATCTAGTGTGGTTGTTAGTCACATCTGCACAGTCATCTAGTGTGGTTTTTAGTCACGTCTGCACAGTGCACAGTCATCTAGTGTGGTTTTTAGTCACGTCTGCACAGTGCACAGTCATCTAGTGTGGTTGGTAGTCATGTCTTCACAGTGCACAGTCATCTAGTGTGGTTGTTAGTAATGTCTGCACAGTGCACAGTCATCTAGTGTGGTTGGTAGTCATATCTGCACAGTGCACAGTCATCTAGTGTGGCTGGTAGTCACATCTGCACAGTGCACAGTCATCTAGTGTGGTTGGTAGTCACGTCTGCACAGTGCACAGTCATCTAGTGTGGTTGTTAGTCACATCTGCACAGTCATCTAGTGTGGTTGGTAGTCACATCTGCACAGTGCACAGTCATCTAGTGTGGTTGTTAGTCATGTCTGCACAGTGCACAGTCATCTAGTGTGGTTGTTAGTCATGTCTGCTCAGTGCACAGTCATCTAGTGTGGTTTTTAGTCACATCTGCACAGTGCACAGTCATCTAGTGTGGTTGGTAGTCATGTCTGCACAGTGCACAGTCATCTAGTGTGGTTGGTAGTCACGTCTGCACAGTACACAGTCATCTAGTATGGTTGGTAGTCACGTCTGCACAGTACACAGTCATCTAGTGTGGTTGGTAGTCATGTCTGCACAGTGCACAGTCGTCTAGTGTGGTTAGTAGTCATGTCTGCACAGTGCACAGTCATCAAGTGTGGTTGGTAGTCACGTCTGCACAGTGCAAAGTCATCTAGTGTGGTTGGTAGTCACGTCTGCACAGTGCACAGTCATCTAGTGTGGTTGTTAGTCACATCTGCACAGTGTACAGTCATCTAGTGTAGTTGGTAGTCACGTCTGCACAGTCATCTAGTGTGGTTGGTAGTCACGTCTGCACAGTGCACAGTCATCTAGTGTGGTTGGTTGTTGTGTCTGCCCAGTGCACAGTCATCTAGTGTGGTTGTTAGTCATGTCTGCACAGTGCACAGTCATCTAGTGTGGTTGGTAGTCACATCTGCACAGTGCACAGTCATCTAGTGTGGCTGGTAGTCACGTCTGCACAGTGCACAGTCATCTAGTGTGGTTGGTTGTTGTGTCTGCCCAGTGCACAGTCATCTAGTGTGGTTGTTAGTCATGTCTGCACAGTGCACAGTCATCTAGTGTGGTTGGTAGTCACATCTGCACAGTGCACAGTCATCTAGTGTGGCTGGTAGTCACGTCTGCACAGTGCACAGTCATCTAGTGTGGCTGGTAGTCACGTCTGCACAGTGCACAGTCATCTAGTGTGGTTGTTAGTCATGTCTGCACAGTGCACAGTCATCTAGTGTGGCTGGTAGTCACATCTGCACAGTGCACAGTCATCTAGTGTGGCTGGTAGTCACGTCTGCACAGTGCACAGTCATCTAGTGTGGTTGGTTGTTGTGTCTGCCCAGTGCATCATCATATAGTGTGGTTGGTTGACAGAAGTAAAGCAGCCCTTACCCACATGATACTTGTTGCCACAGTGACGCAAAGAACAGGGATAACTGTCACCTTCCATGTGCATCATTACAAGTGACTCACAAGGGTTAGCATGGCTGTCACTCCTGTAAAAAACTGCAACGTCAAACCAACCATGAACGGATTGAAACAAAACGAAAGAGAAAAATTTAGCTGGTCAAGATGAAAGCATACTGATCTAGCAGAGAGATGGCAGGAAGCCAAGGAAGCTGTCAATAGCATGGATTGTTGCCGTCTTCTGCCTTGCTTACCATCAACAGCTTTAATTGTTACTGTCTTCTGCCTTGCTTACCATCAACAGCTTTAATTGTTACTGTCTTCTGCCTTGCTTACCATCAACAGCTTTAATTGTTACTGTCTTCTGCCTTGCTTACCATCAACAGCATGGATTGTTGCTGTCTTCTGCCTTGCTTACCATCAACAGCTTTAATTGTTACTGTCTTCTGCCTTGCTTACAATCAACAGCATGGATTGTTGCTGTCTTCTGCCTTGCTTACCATCAACAGCTTGGATTGTTGCTGTCTTCTGCCTTGCTTGTCATCAAAATCTTGGATTATTGCTGTCTTCTGCCTTGCTTGTCATCAAAATCTTGGATTATTGCTGTCTTCTGCCTTGCTTACCATCAACATCTTGGATTGTTGCTGTCTTCTGCCTTGCTTGTCATCAAAATCTTGGATTGTTGCTGTCTTCTGCCTTGCTTGCCATCAACAGCTTGATTGTTGCTGTCTTCTGCCTTGCTTGTCATCAAAATCTTGGATTGTTGCTGTCTTCTGCCTTGCTTGCCATCAACAGCTTGATTGTTGCTGTCTTCTGCCTTGCTTGTCATCAAAATCTTGGATTATTGCTGTCTTCTGCCTTGCTTACCATCAACATCTTGGATTGTTGCTGTCTTCTGCCTTGCTTGTCATCAAAATCTTGGATTGTTGCTGTCTTCTGCCTTGCTTGTCATCAAAATCTTGGATTATTGCTGTCTTCTGCCTTGCTTGTCATCAAAATCTTGGATTGTTGCTGTCTTCTGCCTTGCTTGTCATCAAAATCTTGGATTATTGCTGTCTTCTGCCTTGCTTGCCATCAACAGCTTGATTGTTGCTGTCTTCTGCCTTGCTTGTCATCAACATCTTGGATTGTTGCTGTCTTCTGCCTTGCTTACCATCAACAGCTTGGATTGTTGCTGTCTTCTGCCTTGCTTGTCATCAAAATCTTGGATTATTGCTGTCTTCTGCCTTGCTTGTCATCAAAATCTTGGATTGTTGCTGTCTTCTGCCTTGCTTGTCATCAACATCTTGGATTGTTGCTGTCTTCTGCCTTGCTTGTCATCAAAATCTTGGATTGTTGCTGTCTGCCTGGAATATCTCCACAGCTAGCACCTGGAAGGTGAGCTTGATGTATGGAATTGAAGAGACAGCACTGGTGGCGGGGACAATGAAATAGTCACAGATAAACATTTATGTATTGTCACACAAGGTTGAGTGGAGCAGGAAGACTGCTCCAAAGACATGTCAGACACATGCATGCTCACACTTATACCTTGATTTCACACACATGCATGCTCACACTTATACCTTAATCTTTTTTTACCTGAGGTGCAGATGTACATGGCGATTGTTTGGCATTTTGGGATGAAAGGGTTAAGGCACTGGTTTAAATATGTGATCAGTATCACATCAGTTGCCTTTTATTGCTAGGACACTGGTTTAAATATGTGATCAATATCACATCAGTTGCCTTATATTGCTAGGACATTTCCTGGTGGCCATTTTAGGCTGCTGGGTCGACCATGGAGAAATCCTGGCCTCAGAGAGGGATTTAGCACATTATCATGTGGCAGATGTAAACATAGAATCACAATAACAAGTGATTTTGTTCTTGCAGGCACTCTACTTAAGTGATCAGCTCTCACCACAGTCAACCCCTAACAGCGCAGCCAGCAACAGGTCAGAGGTCACCACGCAGCCAGCAACAGGTCAGAGGTCACCACGCAGCCAGCATCAGGTCAGAGGTCACCAGACAGCCAGCAACAGGTCAGAGGTCACCACGCAGCCAGCAGCAGCTCCAGCAGACAGACCAAACAGAAAGGGTTGGTTCAGTGGGGCCAAGAATATTTTCAAGATCTTTGCGTAAGGTCACAGGTTTGTGACTGTACTGTGACCAGAACCATGGGGAATATTGCTTCACTGTGTGACAGCCTTTTTATCATCAAGTCTTTCTTTATGTAATGAAGGTCTAGTTTCATTGTATCTTCATATTTGCCTTATGAGGACATATGCTGGTCTGGCACCTGTGTGTCTTGACAGCAATGTTGGCTTACGATGACTTGCTGGTCTGGTATCCGAGTATCTAGACAGCTGTGTGTCTTGACAGCCATGTTGGCTTACTATGACTTGCTGGTCTGGTATCCGAGTATTTAGACAGCTGTGTGTCTTGACAGCCATGTTGACTTACAATGACTTGCTGGTCTGGTATCCGAGAATCTAGACAGCTGTGTGTCTCAGCTGTGTTGACTTACAATGACTTGCTGGTCTGGTATCCAAGTATCTAGACAGCTGTGTGCCTTGACAGCCATGTTGACTTACAATGACTTGCTGGTCTGGTATCCGAGAATCTAGACAGCTGTGTGTCTTGACAGCTGTGTTGACTTACGATGACTTGCTGGTCTGGTATTCGAGTATCTAGACAGCTGTGTGTCTTGACAGCTGTGTTGACTAATGATGACTTGCTGGTCTGGTATCCGAGTATCTAGACAGCTGTGTGTCTTGACAGCCATGTTGACTTACGATGACTTGCTAGTCTGGTATCCAAGTATCTAGACAGCTGTGTGTCTTGGCAGCTGTGTTGACTAATGATGACTTGCTGGTCTGGTATCCGAGTATCTAGACAGCTGTGTGTCTTGACAGCCATGTTGACTTACGATGACTTGCTAGTCTGGTATCCAAGTATCTAGACAGCTGTGTGTCTTGACAGCTGTGTTGACTTACGATGACTTGCTGGCCTGGTATTCGAGTATCTAGACAGATGTGTGTCTTGACAGCTGTGTTGACTAATGATGACTTGCTGGTCTGGTATCCGAGTATCTAGACAGCTGTGTGTCTTGACAGCCATGTTGACTTACGATGACTTGCTAGTCTGGTATCCAAGTATCTAGACAGCTGTGTGTCTTGACAGCTGTGTTGACTAATGATGACTTGCTGGTCTGGTATCCGAGTATCTAGACAGCTGTGTGTCTTGACAGCCATGTTGACTTACGATGACTTGCTAGTCTGGTATCCAAGTATCTAGACAGCTGTGTGTCTTGACAGCTGTGTTGACTTACGATGACTTGCTGGCCTGGTATCCGAGTATCTAGACAGATGTGTGTCTTGACAGCCGTGTTGACTTACGATGACTTGCTGGTCTGGTATCTGAGTATCTAGACAGCTGTGTGTCTTGACAGCCATGTTGACTAATGATGACTTGCTGGTCTGGTATCCGAGTATCTAGACAGCTGTGTGTCTTGACAGCCGTGTTGACTTACGATGACTTGCTGGTCTGGTATCCGAGTATCTAGACAGCTGTGTGTCTTGGCAGCTGTGTTGACTAATGATGACTTGCTGGTCTGGTATCCGAGTATCTAGACAGCTGTGTGTCTTGGCAGCTGTGTTGACTAATGATGACTTGCTGGTCTGGTATCCGAGTATCTAGACAGCTGTGTGTCTTGACAGCCGTGTTGACCTACTGTGACTTGCTGGTCTGGTATCTGAGTATCTAGACAGCTGTGTGTCTTGACAGCTGTGTTGAGTTACGATGACTTGCTGGTCTGGTATCCGAGTATCTAGACAGCTGTGTGTCTTGACAGCTGTGTTGAGTTACGATGACTTGCTGGTCTGATATCCGAGTATCTAGACAGCTGTGTGTCTTGACAGCTGTGTTGAGTTACGATGTCTTGCTGGTCTGGTATTCGAGTATCTAGACAGCTGTGTGTCTTGACAGCTGTGTTGACTAATGATGACCTGCTGGTCTGGTATCCGAGTATCTAGACAGCTGTGTGTCTTGACAGCCATGTTGACTTACAATAACTTGCTGGTCTGGTATCCCAGTGTCTAGACAGCTGTGTGTCTTATGATGCTGTTCTGTGCTGTGCTGTCAGTCGATGAGAGCTATTTTATCCGAGCCACCTATAGCTCCAGGCCAGAAGCATGCTGTTGTACAGACAGGTTTGTCCGGACACAACAAATGCTGGCATCACAGAGAGCCTACCACTGCACTTTGTAATACTATTTTTATCATTTTAGACTAGTCTGTTTATTTGTGTATAGGTTTTTATTTTCAGTCTGCAAGCTCAAACGTTATACTATATACTTGCAGTTGAACCTAACAGACAGGACTGTCCAACCAACACCACTGCCAATGCCACTGGTTTTATATGTTAGACATTATCAAACTGGTGTGGATGTGTCTGTATTACAGACACTCTCACATTACAGACATTTCCACATTACAGATGCTCTCACATTATAGACATTCCCACATTACAGACATTTCCATATTACAGATGTTTCCACATTATAGACATTCCCACATTACTGATGTTCCCACATTATAGAGGTTCCCACATTATAGAGGTTCCCACATTACTGTCATTCCCACATTATAGAGGTTCCCACATTACAGATTATCCCACATTACAGACATTACCACATTACAGACATTACCACATTACAGACATTACCACATTACAGACATTACCACATTACAGACATTACCACATTACAGACATTACCACATTACAGACATCCCACATTACAGACATTCCCACATTACATGCATTCCCACAATACAGACATTCTTACATTACAGACGTTCTGACATTTCCACATTACAGATGTTCCCACATTACAGGCGTTCCCACATTACTTATGTTCCCACATTAATTACATTCCCACTTTACAGAGGTTACCACATTACTGACATTCCACATTGCTGATGTTCCCACATTACAGACATTCCTGCATTACAGACATCCCACATTACAGACATCCCACATTACAGACATCCCACATTACTGACGTTCCCACATTACAGACATTCCCACTGTACAGAAATTCCTTTGTTACGAACATTGCAAGAATGCCATCGTGTACAATTGTATATATGGTTGTTTGCCAGATATTTTATGTGACATGATTGTCACTTGCCACATATTTTAAAGGACATAATTTGTACAGCTCAAACAACAACCTCTGTGCCTACATCAAAATTCTCAAATATAATTGTGCATTCCATGACAAGTCTCCTATCATTTATGGCTTGTGGTTGTCAAGCCAGCTGAGGTCTTTTGTTGAGAAGTAAACACCTGTCTGCTACACCACACTAGTACTGCCATGTTCTCACTCCCTCTCTCTGAGTGTTCCATTGTTGTTGATATTTCTCACCATCTTCTCATTCTATGAACCCTTATCATTATCATCAGGTGCCATGCTGAGCACTACTGAATCATCTATCCAGTATGTTTGTTACCTCTGGTTATCAGTCCTCTCTGAGGATTGTTGTGGTTAAAGGTAAAAAGGTAAAGTCGGGAGATGTGAACCAGCGTCATTGCACACGGTTATAATGCCACCAGTACGGACAGCTGAAAAGAATTGTCCACCTGTGTCACCGTCCGCACGTAACTCTGTGGCTACAGCGACGTTCCTCCATTTACCCCAGAGTTTCAGCTCTGGTACCCATTTCCTAGAGTTTTGATGAACCCTGGAAGCCGCCTAGTTTTGAACACCTACCGTGGGCTGCTGCGAGTCGCAGCTGGATTTGAAAGGGACCCTCTTATCGACTGCGCTAACGCGGCTGTTGTGGTTATATACTCCTAGAACTGCCAGTTCTGATTGACACCTGCCATCTCATGACATTGCAGGTGATATCAGACAACATATATTGTATATTTTGTCTCTGACATATTTATTAGTTTTGTGTTCTAAATAAAAAGTAAAAGTAAAGGACCCTTTCCACGCCTTTAGGCGTATAGGGCATATAGACCTATATTTTTATAGACCAACGGCACAAGATGGGTGATGTGGTCAGCATCACGCCGGCCGCCTCTACTTCCGGGATTGCACCCGGTACCCACTCAAGGCTGGGTCGACCTGGGAGCCAAAGTCATGTGTTCTAAATAACTAATTCGTAAAATGCGTCTGTGGCATTTACATTCAAAAGCCTGAATCCTTCTTTCAGGCTCCACTCGGTGTGTCAGTTCTTCTCACTGTGTCCAGTAACTGAATTACTGCAAGGAAGAAGTCTTAGTCTACACACACAAGGGATAAATAGAATAGAACTCTCCAGAAAACTGCAGTTGGAGGTAGAAAAGGTCATTGAGTGGTGTCAGGAAACAGGCAATGTCATCAGCTGGGTTGAGGTAGCAGCATTGTGGTGTTTTTTAAATAGTAGAATTGTTAGGGGTGTGTAATGGGACATTACAATAAATTACAGTAACATAGAAAGAGAGAGAGAGAGAGAGAGTATGAGGGAGTGAGTGTGTGAGAGTGAGTGAGAGTGTGTGAGTGAGTGAGAGTTAGTGAGGGAGGCAGGCAGATGTTTTTCATTTTGAGTGAATTTATCAAATCTAAGAAACAGGATGAAATTTGACGTCTTAAATGCTATCTTTACAATAAAATTCGCCCAAATAAGGGTAGGAAAAGGCTGTTCCACTTAAAAACATCTACCATCTTAACGTCAAAAACGCCATCTAAACGTAAGGAAAAATATCTTAATCTGAATGTAAAATATCCAAAGTGGCAACACTGATCTTGTCTGTAGCAGAAACAGTTGTGATCGTGATCTCTACCTGTGCCATCAAGAGTTACCTCTTTCTGCCGTTGTCCTTTGCAACCTAATAAGCAGTGTTGCCACTTTGGATGT